TCGACAACTACTACTCAATGTTCACCTTGCTCCCCGAGATTTTTGAAGATCGCGATCCATTCTCGGCAGATATTCAAGCACTTTTAAGTATTGGGTAAGTTATGAAGCATGCTGTAGCACCCAACCATTTCTATTAGTTCTATGGTTCCACTGCCAAATACACTCGTAGTCCAGTCAAATAAGAAAAAATAAAAACATTAATTGGTAAAGATCTGAATTTTGGTAAACATGTTCATTAGTGTTCCCCATTGGACATACTAAAAGTCCCCGTCAAAATCTGTTGCGCTCGAGGCACCATCTTGGAAAAAAGGAGCACTTGTTCAGTTTCTTGCCTATATATCGGCAACAATTATTGACACGGAAAAATAGCTCAGATAAAAAATATAGTTTATTAAATTGCCCATAAAAAAGCACATTAACATTTTTTTGTATGTCCAAAACTTTAGCTATAATCCGACATCGAATAGGGAATCAAGTATCCTGAGCTCTCGAAACAGGCGCGCAGATATTTTTTTACAACTTTTTACAAATCATTAAATTTATTGAAAATTGTGCCAGTATTTCTTATATATGAGAAGTCGTCGCACTCAAGCTTGGTATGAGACACGTTTAAAGGTTTCTCATAAAACTCTCTCTCTCTCTCTCTCAATAGAACTTTCATCTTCAATGTGAGCAGTTAAGCACTGAGTGTGGACTGGAAGCCTTCAGTGACCGAACAGGGTCAAGGAAATCGTGGACTCTCCTTCAACTCCACAGTTCGGGAGATTTTTCATATCCACAAACCTTCTGAACTTGCTGATTAATACGAAACGTGTGTTGCTGCGCCGCTGCAGCCGTAGGGGGTAACAGTGCGGTTAGATTCGGCTGACCCTTGTATGCGTATTTTCTGCAGGTCTGATAACGATGTCGGTTTAAATATCTCTCACTAGCAGGCACGTTGTATGCAGAGAACGGCGTTCTCCAGCTTCAGAAATCATTTCGTGGCCCCAACAATTTTAATCATTTTCGCTTACCTTTTTGAAAAAAAACATGATGTCGTATCATGAAACATTATGTCATTACTAGAATGCTTTATCGCAAGACGATTCTGTTCATTTTTTGGTGCTTTTACAGCTTTCGGTGTAGCCATAAAAAAGACGGCCTCCTTCCTATAACTACGATGCGGGGCCTAAACGCTTTCTGACGCATTCAACGTGAGATTACAGCTAAAGTATGGGAGATACAAAAAAATGTAAATACTCTTTTTTATAGGGAATTTAGTAAACTATATTTTTCATGTAAACTATTTCTTCGTATCAGTAATAGTTGCCGAGACATGGGCAAAAAACTGGAAAAGTGTACCGTTTTTCCAAGATGGCGTCTCGAGCGCAACAGATTTTGACAGGGACTGTTAGTATGTTCAATAGAAAGTCCCAATAAATTACGACCCCAACGTTGTAACGTACACCACTATTATAAAAGCCTCTCTAATGATTTTTGATATTTTGTTGATCGAGGACCTCAATACTGCTGCGTTCGGTGTTTACGTGGTGTCTGACTTGGGAAAGTGTTCGGTGAAGTATGTTTTACAGTTTACACCAAATTCGATTACTAAGCACATTTACTGCATTGAAACTGGGTACCCTCTGCGACTCAAAGGTGTACAGATCGAAAATTGCCCATCGGCTATGGAACTCGTGCTTTCAATGGTGAACGCATGTTTAAACGGTAAAATTAGCAAAAGAGTACGTGCAGTTTACAAAATAGATTACGACTTTTATGCAGGGTTTCTTTTCAGTTACATGTCTACAAGGCCAATAGTAATTTAAAAGGTCTGCAAAAGGAGATTCCCATTGAACTGATGCCGATAGAGTATGGTGGGAATAATGGATCCATTAAAGAGCTAGGGGGTTGGTAATCAATTTTAAGGCATAATTTAAGTAGATATTGCAGCTATTTGGAAAAAGAAAGTGGAATCCTACAGAGACTGGTTTCTAGACAACGCTAAATACAAGACGATGGAAGACCTCCGTCTTGGCCCACCCAAAACTAGTGCAGATGAGCTTGGACTCGATGGATCGTTTAGGAAATTGGATATTGATTAGTTACATTGTTGCCAATTGTGCATTTGGGTGTTTTTCAAATAAAGCATGTTTAAGAATGCAGCAAGTTTTCTAGTCCTGCTAGATTATATTCAAATTTGTAGTATTTATTCTCAAGAAATCTAGGGTAAGAATTGAAATCGACTGCGAGTCCGGACGGTGTTAAATGATCAAATAATGAATGTAAGAAAATATTCATATCTGAAGCAATAGGTTATTTTATTACCATTTAAGGTGAAATGAAAAAAGCCCTAGTTTGTTTTCTAGCACCAAGACTGTTTCAAATTTAATTAATAAATAATTTATTAATTATAATAAATTTAATTAATTAATAATTAATTTCTCTAAACGGAGTATGTAAAGTTGTCTAACTTCTTTCGAAAGATAGCAAGTTGAAGTAGAAAGAGAAGAATTACTTTGTCTCATTCTACTACACTTATCTTTGTTGTCTCTTCATTTACCTTTCAATGGAATTTAATTATAAATGCGAGGACTACTGAAACTTGCCTAATGAGGTTTTTCTATTGATATTATTAAATGCACATTTTGTTCATTTACTGCATATGACATGTGAGTACTGGGAATTGAAATTAAAATTTGCCTTTTTAATGTTTATTCAAAGGAGTTTGATTTATTCTTATGGGAATTTTTGGGAAGAAAAAAATCCTCTTTATGTGATGGTTTTGTCTGTTCGTCTGTCCTCGTCTAACTCCAGAACGAAAAAGGATGCCAAACCTTGACCAATCACATTTCTACTAGTTCTCTTCAATATGAGCCGAATTAAAAGTCGGGTTTCTTGAATATAGATGCGATTCTTCGCATGTTGTATGTCGTGCGGGATCAATTCCTTATAATTTAAACCTGACAATTTTAGAATCACTAAAGAAAGGTAAGAACTTTCAATGCAAATTACCATAAAAATTGCCGACAAATGTATTCGGCTCATACGCACAATTTTGGGTAGTTTGTAGGATGTAATTTTACATTTCTTTATTATGATGACTAATGAAACATGGAAACGATGATATATAACTGTAAATGCAATAAATTCTTAGCAAAAATCTTAAAAAAGTATTCATTCTCAAATAATCGCAGCAATAATTATAACACAATATCACAGAAATATGAGCGCACCTAGATTAGGGTCGGTCGATTTATTAGATACGTTTTATACACGTATTCCGTATGCGAAATTTAAACGTATTCAGTACACGCATATACATCGTATATACGTAAATGGGAATAATACACGCAATAATATTCTACAAGAATATAGCAATATCCACCGGACATTTATGCGTACTATATAGTAGTATATGATTACGTTTTTTAAACGTAGGGTTTTGGTCTACTATAAACACGTTATATACGAAACTGTGTTGCTTGGGGGGTGCAAACTTAGGAAGTGATAAGCAGTTTCAACCCGAACCCGAATATCACCGAATATCTACAAGAAACAGGGTTCACGGGTCTTGAGCCAGAAGACATAAAAAACCCTAGGCCTACAATGGGCGCCGACCCAAGATGTTCAAAGTAGATCTACTCCCGGAGGTACACACCTACCAAACGAAGGATTCTATCCCAAATTCCAAGATTATATGACCCACAAGACTGCCTAGTCCCCATAATAATGCGGGCCAAACTGTTCACTCGAGAATATTTGGACAGAAGCCATCGAGTGGGACGAAAAACTTCCAGCCTAGTTAATGGATAACTGGACTGCCTTCCAACCCCAACTTGGGAATCATTCACATGAGAAGCGGCGGTTAAATCCAACAAATTCCTCGTGAATTTGATCATCGTAGACAGTACGTTGACCTTTGGCACATTATCGACAGTATTGTGCCAAATTGAGGTACAGTTCAAGATGTCAAGGCCATCATTTACGTCGTTAGAACCTTTCTGTGTGAATTATCGGTGATTTAAACTGATTCGCGTAAAACTTCATACGTGGTAATGAACGTTTAACTAATAATTTAGATATGCTTCGTAGTATGAAGGACTCCATTATTGTAGTTTGTTGACTTATATGTAGAATTAATTTAAAAAAGACAAACTATGTTTTTTAAACAGTTTTCTCTGGGCTATCGATATGCTTATTTAGATATACTTGTCATATTGTTTGAGAAAATAAATGTAATTATCTGTCCAGCAGTGATATTTTTTTAAGTATAGCTAGAAATTAGGTTTTTTTTTTCATTTTAGGGGATTGCAAGTATTTGTTAAGATTTCATTATTTAATCTTCACAAATGTTTACAATTTAAATTAACTTTTTCGATTCTTTGTCAAAGTTGTAAAAAAAGGGAGTAAACGGATTATTTGAAAAGCAAGCTAACATTGAGGTTAAGTAATCTCTCTAAGTATACTGTACATTTCTAAATATTCAGCTGTTTGAATTAGCATTTTTCCATATTTTGGTTATGAATTTTTAATTATTAATGAGATCATCAGTCAAAGAACTGACCCCTTTCTATCTGAGCAACCCTGGGAAGTAAAAGTACGGAAGGTAGGTAGCATTATTCTTTAATACTTGGTGTGCCTATAAAAAATATTCATATACTTGTCATGTAGTCGGATACCCCAAATCCTCAACGATATTATTGGTATCTAAAATCTTTGAATATGAATATAAAAATCTCTAACTTATTCTTTTTGCGAACTAAACAAACAATTTTGGATACGGAACGGTTCAGTCTGTGTGAGAAATCCCATGCCATTACGTATTCCCCATGCCTCTGCGTAACGAAGTTTACCGCACTGGTGTCTAACTGTTGCTATTTACTAACATCATTAGCATACAGTGAACTTGATTTTAATCATTAATGTAAGCATTCTATTAAATGAAAAGCACACCAGCATGGTAGGTATTGTGACTATGTAGATCCCATTACAGCATCTTAATAGTTAATTGTATTCTAATGACCGATGAGTATAACATACCATGCAAACGCCTCTTAGTAGAACGAAATACGATGGATAATTTAAATGAAATGAAGTGCTGCAAGGTCGAAGATTTGAAAGAAGATCGCGAAGCCATACACGGTGACCTGAAGATGATTAGAGATTGGTTGAAGAAACAACCTCATCTAAATGTCCGAGACGGTAAATAAATTTTCTTACTGCATATGTCCCAAAATGTCGTTTCAGATGATGAATCTCTCCTAATATTCTTGAGAAGCTCAAAGTATAGCATTCAGCGTACTAAAGAAAAGATCGAGAACTACTACTCAATGTACTCATTACTGCCGGACCTTTTTAATGACCGCGATCCATTCTCACCTGAGATTCAAGCGCTATTAAGTGTCGGGTAAGTTGTAAAACTACCATGAGTACTACCTACTGACTATTAATAAAGTACTATGGTTCCATTACCAAATCCCATCGGCCACTGCGGACCCAGGATTGTTCTCATAGTGTACGACGATTATGATCCCGAAGTTATACCCTACACAGCTGTTATAAAATCATGTCTAATGATTTTTGATATTTTGATGATTGAGGATCTTAACACTGCGGTTTCCGGTGTGTACATACTGTGTGATTTGGGGAGGTGTCCATTAAAATACGTCCTACAATTTTCTCCGACTTACGTAACTAAGCACGTCTACTGCATGGAGACTGGATATCCTCTGCGACTCAAAGGTATACAAGTGGAGAATTGTCCAACAGCTTTAGAAGTTACAATTGCCATCGCCAAAGCTTGCTTGCGTGGTAAAATACGCGATCGGGTATGTTAACTTGCGAATTTGACCACCTCAAAAATATAAAACCGGACCGTTTTTAGTTACACGTTTATAGCGATAATAAGGATTTGCAGAAGGTCATTCCACTTGAGCTAATGCCAATAGAGTATGGGGGAAAAAATGGATCAGTTCGCGAACTGGGACGTAGGTAATCAATTTCTATTCAAATGTTAATTATAGTCTTTAGCTATTTGGAAAAGCAAAGTCGAATCCTATAGCAACTGGTTTCGGGATTGCGCTAAATATAAAACGAATGAAGATCTCCGCCCTGGAAAACCTAGAACCACCTGCAGTGAGCTTGGGATTGAGGGATCGTTTAGGAAATTAGTTGTCGATTGATTTAAAATTATAGGAGTTACTAGAAAACTATCTATGTAGGGAATTATTATTTTAATGCACTAAAAAAACTATTAATAGTATATTATATACTGAGGGACTAAAGTGTGTGTTTTAATCCCAAGGGTGCAGATTGTTGCCCGAAACGTAGTTGAGGGCAACAAGCAACCAAGAGATTAGGACGCACTTTAGTCCTGTGGTATATACGCTATTTTTTGTACTCCGGTAATCAGCTACGGCAATTTCAATGTTAAAGTGCAAATTAGAAAGTAAAAATTTGATTGATTGTAGGAATGATTGTTGTATTTTAAGCGCCTATGTATCAAATTTAATTTAAATGCTTCCATAAATAAAAAAGTTGGCACTGCTCATGCGCAAAACCAAATTTTGAAACTGACGTTAGATTTTCCTTTATTCCAAGTGTCTATGTATCAAATTTCATTTCAATGCTTCCATAAATAAGATAGCTAGCACTGCGCATGCGCAAAACCAAATTTTGACACTGGTGTTAGACTTTCCTTTATTCCAAGTGTCTATGTATCAAATTTCATTTCAATGCTTCCATAAATAAGATAGCTAGCACTGCGCATGCGCAAAACCAAATTTTGACACTGGTGTTAGACTTTCCTTTATTCCAAGTGCCTATGTATCAAATTTCATTTAAATACTTCCATAAATAATAAAAGTTTGCAATTCGAGATGCGAAAAGGGCACTGAGAATTTTGGATCGATTCGACTCAACTTTTGGAATTTCGTATTATATGACTAAAGCTATGCCCATATTGAATTTCATGCAATTCAGTTCAGAACTAACGGAGATGTCAAAGCGATCGGACATTTCTAAACAAAGTTATCGTTCACACGGACAGATAGAGGGACAGACAGACAAAGGAACAGACGAACAGACCAACAGACAGACGACAGACAGCTATACAAAATTATAAACGATCTCTAAGATCGTTAATAAACGGCAAAAGTGTATAATTATGGAACATGTAAAAAACGGTTAGTTGGTTTTTTTACAACTTTTTTAGCAATAAACGCAGAAAAAATTTCTTCCTTGGTGCAAGCCTCGACACCATAACGAACCAAAAAGCGAAAAAAGTAGAACAATAGCTCTTAAGATAAAGAACTAGTAGCGTCTCAACAAACGAGCGGACGGACGGACGGATAAAGTGGCCACAATAGCGCATTTTTTTTATTTTTGTGGAAATGAATGTGAACTTAGTTGATGCCGCTGCTATAAAATTCGGTTGACCCGTGGATGCGCCTAAACAAATATGTGCAATATTGATAACAATTTACATTCAACGCTCTATTTCCCAAAAAATCCGATTTCCTAATCATTTCACCTGATATAAATGATAACGAGGGAACTATTGGCCCTAAACCGTTTCTCTAAATCTTAAATTAAAGCTAACTACTCTATAACTATAACTTTATTTCTCATGACTTTCCTTGTAGAATGAGTATTTTAGACGGTATTTTGTGACTCATCTCAAGTATTATCACCAAGAGCAATATTCCGCATCAAGATTTCCAGTTTAAAATTTGGATTCGTCATTTGTTAAGTTTGGCCACAATCGCAAACAAGATATAGGTACTTGTCCAAATATTTTTGAAAAAAACTGCAAGGACGAATTTCTTTTATTAGCGCCCTAGATCGCAATTCTCTTGATTTTGCGTTAAGGTGCAAGTTAGTGGTGCTAAATGAATGGTGCCATAATGAAACGAGATTCATATCAGACAATGGGTGCGTTCACCAGACCCAACTGTTTGCAAACCGTTTGCGCTTTTTATATAAGCATATTTACTGAACGCATTGCTAATTGTCAAACTGTTTGCAAGCGGTCGCCATTTTTTTAATCATAATTAAAACTCGCTGAAAATCACAAACATGTTGATCGGGCATGCGCATTTGTCATAAGCGCGCAATTTGCCTGGTAACCACACGTCAAATTTAATTAGAGTGAATTTTGAGAAAACCGTTTTGTATTCTTTTTGTACATTTCAATAAAAATATGGCAACCTTTCTACAGTTTAAATACATCCTGCTATACGAGATGAATTGAATTGTCCTATAGAAAATCAAAATTGGAGTATTAAATGCCTATTCACTGGATCCTTGATTAAATATTTTTTATCCATAAATTGTACCTGCTTTATGAGAAGTTTTTATTTACAGATTGTTACATTTAATAAATTTAATAAACTCACCACATAAGTATAGTCATTTTAAGGAAAGAGTTAAGATTTGTATAGGTGAAAAACGTATAGTTATAGCAAAGAGTAACCATTCTTTGGTTATAGCAATTATGGTTACTCTTTGGTTATAGCACAGATATACGACGTATAATCTGTGGTTATAGTGTTGCAAGGCAGGGTTTGATGGCCAGCAATCTACTAGAAGACGAGCAAATCGTTCGTGCCGTTTTGGAGCCTTCATAAACCGCATATGAAGGGGTCAGTACAAGTCCAAATGAAATCGAGAGCACTCAGCCAGTATCAGTTATAGGTTATAGAGATACTTGTGTTAATTATTAGTATACGAATAATGTACCCTAATTAGATTCGAAGAGAAGTTTGGTGTGGAACGATTTCACACAGTTATTCACAAAGTTATTACTCGCCGAGTATTTCAAATTTGACATTCGTCAAAGGGAGGCTGAAGTAATACTGTTAAAATATCTTCTTTTCTTGTCTGACAACTTTGTCGTGGGCAGTGTACGTTCGCAGTTTCTTGCGTTTTTACAGATTAACAGGATCATTTATTGATAGGAAAAAGCTATATCAAACGACACAAAAAGTAAAAATGACTTCCATAAGAAAAAACAAAGCTGATGATGGTTAATCGGAGACGAAACGTCAGACTAAAAATTTAAAACTAGCATCTTGTATATGGAAAAAAGTGGTCACAAATATGGGCCGTTTATTTTGAAATATCTTTTTAAATAACTTAGGTAACAAATAAAAACGATTTTGTAAAATGTCATTTTTTTCTGGATATCTCCGAAAGTAGTCGGAATTTTTTCAGTTTCAAAACGACATTTTGTTAAGTATCAAACTACTCAACTTTGCCAACCTCTATTTCTTACAGTTCCCGAGATCCCCATGGTGGCCCTCGAATTTGAATAAGCCTCCATACATGGAATGCTCCCTTCTTTATTCACAATTAAATGATACGATTTATCTCTTACAACTTTAAAGCGCATTGTGTGCAATATGCAATTATCCAATTTTTGGTCGTGATGTACGTACGTACTAGTAATTTACTCCAATTTCGCGCATAAACCTATATGCCGATGGTTTAAACAAATATGCATGCCTTACAAAATTACAAACATGTTTGTGATTTTCAGCGAGTTTAAATTGCGATTCAAAAAATGGCGTCCGCTTGCAAACAGTTTAACAACTAGCAACGCGTTCAGTTATTCAGTAAACGTACTTATCTAAAAAGCGCAAACGGTTTGCAAACAGTTGGTTCTGGCAAACGCACCCTATCGTTCACCTGCGCCTAAACAGTTTGTGTTTGCAAACGTAATCAAAGCGCAAACACGTTTGGTTCTGGTGAACGCACCCAGGATAGTTATCCGTACGTGTTGCCATAGAATCCAAATAAATGAGTTCCAGTAAATTAGGAAGCAATTTTTTTATGTTAAGACTCTATTTGCACGTTATGTAAATCCTCATATTCAAAATCAATGCAGACTGTTTGCCGAATTGTTAAATACCATCGTTTAAATTAGAAAGTAGTGCATTCAAAATTCATCGACATGAATAATTGCCGTTTATGATAAAATTGACTCACCCTTAGTTTTGTTAATGGAAACTTTTGAGGAATTTTGAAAACCATTCCCCCAAGAAACACACTTCACTTCGCGTTCACTACTTGCTAAACTATATTTCTTGAGAAGAATGATTAACGTAAACTTGTACCGATCAAAACGCGCTTATCTACATTTCCAGTTGCAGGTGTACATTCAAATTGGAACGAATGGGGCCGAACGAGCGTTCGCGCTCATGCGTGTACTGATGTTTGTTGACAAGCCAGTGAATCATCGAGCAAATTATGCACCTGTGGTCTTATAATACTATAAAATTGTGGGTTGAAATGGGGCAACCCAAAATGTGATGGACCAAAGGTAGACGTCGGCTGGAGAATTTTGAGACCCTGCTCTCCAAAAAGTTATATGAAAAGTAAACCCCACAAATTGCATTTTGAACCAATCCCAAGATTAACTTAAACGCGTACTATTTTTTTGGAACATTTAAATGGGACGAATGCACAATACTAACACAATCGTGTGACATTAACATACAGAATGACCCATCAGCTACTTCCAAAAATTCATGAATGGTGGTTTGAGAGAGACATCATTTACAATAAAACCTCACAACCCTTTTAAACCCTTAGCACTACGAATGCAACCTTTATGACCGTTTGTAGCGACAATTTTAACCTGAGATTACCTTATCTACCAGCCATTGTCGCTGCCATGAAATAAATCTAGTCATAACATTTGCATTTTCAAAAAGGTGAAGGTGTCCTCTCGCAAATATTTATATTGCTGGCACGCGAATTCCTAATTCGGCTCTGCTAGTTTCCAAGGTCCTCGCGCCTATCATCGGAAAAATTCACCCTGTATAAGGTATTATGGAAATAGACTATAACATTATGTGCCCCTTATCAACAATGGTAAACTCGTTCGTGTAGAAAACCTAAACTTGAGCAGAATAAATAGTGCCTCGAAATTTTTCCTGCGCGGAACTGTACCGGGTGAATTAACGATTGGGCGGAGTCTTGAAGGTAAGATTTTCCGATATCTGTTGTATTATGATAATAGGGTTAAATATCCTCCACGTGTATACATATTTTGAATTATACAGGGCACGTTCACAAATACATTTTTAAATGAAACCCCCTGTATTTGAATGCATTTTTGAATTCTACATGTAAATTGTGGTTAATATACGAAGAATTTGTGTTTTCTTTGTAGGTCCAGCACTAAAGTGTTATAATTTTTGCTAGTTTTCTGGGCGATTTGGATTCTACGCGTCAAAATCTAAAAGAATTGCGGTAATACGTGAAGATCGCTTCCGCAACGTAGGCCTCGCTTCCGCGCATGAAAAGTTATAGATAAAAAACCGTATTATAGCTTACTACAAATTTTTAACTTTTTGGAAAAAAATGGCCCATTTTTGAAGCGTTTTATCTCGAGATAGATGGAACCTACAGAGCTAAGGTTTTGTTCAAATTTTTACGAATTTTATCGTCTTTAAAAGTATGATGAATGAGTTTGCCGTCGAATGCAAATTGCAAACAAAAAACTGAGAAAAGGGTCAAATTTCCGAGGTTTTCGAGCACCATGAAGTTAGCACAGGTTTTTCAAGGTTGCAAACTTGGTTTTAGACTACTGGGATCTACACTAAGAACATTTCAGCAATTCAGAACCTTGCAATTTGCGACCTAACGTGCGTTTTTGCGTGTACAGTGACTGCCCTACTTTGCAATCGAGAATTTTAGCGCACTTAAAATGGTACGTGATGGTTCGCGAAAATCAAGTGAATGTGCTTTCAACGATAGAAAAATTTACGCACAAACAATGTACGAGATCGCTCACGAATTAGTCTTCAAATGATGGCTCTCACACTTCTTTCGCTATTTGAATCTCTCCCGTTGAAAAAACCGAAACGGGCCTACCTTTCTGAACGTAATGCCGTGCCATAACAACCAATAGAAAAGCTGCATTTCGGTTTTTTTAGTTGATGGTCACTGTCAGCTTGCTGGTGACTTTAGAACAGCTGACGGCTCTATTGACCCGAATGTCTTACTCGTCTGACGTAAACATGTGGCGTTGTCACCCAAATGCTACAGGCGGCACACCGCCACTTGTGCCAATTGAGATCGGTACACTTTTTAAAGGTTTTTTGAAATTCCAAGAGTGAAGGAGTATATCAATCAAAAGACGAGGAGGGAACATTTTTAAACGGAATTACAACAGCTGCGTACAGTGAAAGAAGAGGCCTGAGTCACTAGCTTGTGAACCCAACTATTTCAAACTGTTACCATCTCTTTCTCGCTCATGTATTGACATGTGATAGTTGATCTTGATAGGCTTCGGAACGTTGTAGTGCGTGTCGGCTAGGAGTCCCCTTTTGACGTAGCTTGATGCGACGTCTCGGGATGGAAGAACTGGTAACGATGCAGTGAGTTGCTTCATAATCAGGAAATGGCTTTTGACTTTAAAGCAAAGAGTACCCCTTTGCTTTAAAGTTACTGGGGAATCTGGGTTTGATTTCGACCTCGATCTTTCCTCATACGGGGTGTGTGCCCGTTAGACCTACGCCGGAAATATCCTCTTCGGTGACGAAGGACAACTCTGGATCCGCTGTTGATTCTTGACTGTAATGAGGGTTGTGGCGAGCAATATTTCAGTTGCATGCTCCATGCTAGTGGAGAGGTTACTAGCTACTTCCATTCTTTGACGATTTTCAGTAGGGCTCCCGATATGAGCATGCTGTGGTGTTACCGGTTGCAATTTCTACAAGAGTATCTACCAATGATCCTGTGCCGACATTTCGCCAAACTTCTTCTATGCTGAAAGGCGGTGATCTTCCTTGCAGATTGAGCATCTCGTAATGTTAGTGTGGTAAACTCGTGCCCAACGTTTTTCTGCCTGAAATTTGTGGTTGTTGCTTTTTGAAGCTTTATTGTCCTTGGTGAGTTCCAACGATTGGAACCGTGCTTCTAGGAAGCTTAACAAGTTTTTGAATGAAGGTACCTCTTTTGGTGCTTGTAGGGTGTTCTCAAAAGCGGCCAATGTTGCCGCATCCACCTTGTCGTATACGATGTGCATCACCATGGCTCCCCAGAAATCCGTTGGTACACCCATGTTGTTAATTGCGTGGAGGCTATCGGCAATTGTGTCATGGATGGTTTTAAGTCCCTCTGGCACGTTTGGACTCATTTTTGGTAGGATGAAGTTGTTGTTGAGTTGCTTGGATGGCAGTAGACGCTTATTGTGGTAGCGGTTCGTTAGCAGCATCCACGCGTCGTTGTAGTTGGCTTCACATACCGGTAGGTGCTGTAGTAGTTTGCTGGCCTCGCCTTTTAGATTGGTTTTCAAATGTTGCATTTTTTCAATGTTGGTTAACCTCTTGTTGGAGTGCACCTTTTTGTGGAACAGGTCATAGGAGCTGGTTCATGCCTCGTAGTCGCCCCCAAATTGCGGAATCTGTATCCGCTGGAGACGAAGAATGTCGTAGCCCCATTTTCTCGTGAGTGTTTCCCGCAGAGCTCCACCATGATTTGGTGAATTGCATCTCTTACTACTTCGTATTGGGTCGCTAACGTATCAGGTATTTCGCTGATTACCATGATGTCTTCATGGGCGTCTTGGATGGCGTCCCAAAGCTTGGGAATCTCCACCTTTTTTATCTGCCAATAGCCGCTGTGATGTCCAGGTCCTATCCGTGTGTCCTTGACTTAGACTATGAAAGAAAGGGGACCCGTAATAGAGAGCGCGCGCGTGAAGCAAATTGCGATCATACTGCCACCACCAGTGGCGCCCACTCGGGTATTACATTAGGAAATTACAATTTATTTATACTGCCATCATGGTATGATTAACCTGTGCGTACAGTTGTCGGGCATAATATTAGGTTCTTATCTGAATAGAGAGACAAAAAACGCGATAAACGTAAACATACGACTGGACTTTGATCGTTTCAGAAACTGGGTTCGCGATATAAGCGCAATATTATTGAAAGTAAAGGGTTTTTCCGAGGGTTTTTCATTAAGAGCGCTCGAACTTTGAAATGAAATAAAACAACCTGTTTAAGTGATATTACCACAAGTTTTATAATATTTTAAAGGATATTCGATGACATTATTTATGAAAAATAATTTCAGTGAAATGGCCCCCGCGACTCCGCTGTGGACGTTGCATTGTGGTGGACCAATTTTGGACATGTTCGCTTAAACTGGGCTGAATTTCACGAAGAAAGCGAGTTATACTGGTCTTTAGGGCAGCAATTGACTGTGGTTGGTCTGCATAGACTAGGGAACTGAAAACCCAAGTCTCGGCGCAAAATCCGCCAAGTTAACGTCCCAGAAAGACCCATCTCTTGCGCACTCTGCAGAATGGGCTGCCTGGGGTTTTCTCGCACACTATTCCGAACGGCAATAATATTCTCCAACGATCTTGCGTTTCTTTGACGTACAGGAACTGCTTCATCAATCACTGACCCCGTTGTCTAAAATTTTTTATTAAACAACGGATTGTGGACTCTGCAGGATGTCCATGAAAGCCATAAATTGGACGCACCGCACGGAACGTTAGGCGAACGGAGCCCTGATTTCGATAAGCAATTGTAACCATTTCTACGCAGCGTTTTTAAAATACTAATACACAACCTCACTCTTTCGTACATTAATTTGTCATTACTGACCACTACTATATAACATCGTTAAAAAAATTTTGTATTCATTTCACTTCATAAATGACGCTCGGCCTGAAGATGACCAGTTAGGTCGAAATCGATAGCCGCATAAGACAAATACAAAACGTGTCTAAAAAGAATTTCTTTAAACCCCTTCCTCAGTTTCTTGTACTTAAGTAATAAGCTGTTGATACTATAGCAAACCGTTGACGATGACGACTGTAATAATATTGAATTGAGATGTCTTCTCCCCTAACGGGTTTAATCATAACGATCTTCCTTCAGGATATCTTGTGTTTATCGAATGTGGCGGCGATCGATGTGTATTGCTTCGCTTCGAACATCGATCGATGACCTCTCTCTTTTTAAGATCAAATCCTATCTGTCGTACTACATGTAAGTACAAAGGCAACATACACTGTAGTTAAACTACTCCATACAAAGTAATCAGTCGCCTAAGGGCATCCAAACATGTACATATCTGTTACGTCATGTAACTAGATAGTCACGCCGTCACTGGAATATCGCTTGCAGGTTATATCACTTGCTTACTGTAATCGAGAAATTATCAATGAAAAGAAGTATAAAGCAGTATTTTATTGATGCACAAAAATATAGGACAATTGTAAGATTATGAAAATGAAGACCTTAAAAGTGTTTTATTAACTACCATGAAGATTTAATTAAATTTAGCCAAACCAGACAACGTGCCGTTTTTTATCTTGCCTATGAAATGATATTCCTGCTGGACAATGACCACTGCAACTTTTACAGTTGTACGCAAAACAATTCACCACGTTTATATCACACAGTTTTGCACACACAAACTTTATCAGTAATGAAGAAATGTCAAAAAATTCACACTGCCACCGCGCTTTGAGTGCCACCGAAAATATGGCGGTCGTTTCGAAATTCGCGTCAAATTCACGCATGCCGTGGATGCGGTATTACGGGTCCCCTCTCTTTCCTTGTCTAAGGTCCTTGACGAGTCTCGTAAGCCGGTCTAGTTTCATTTGTTGCTACGTAACTGAGGGTTCGTGTGAATCTCCTGGCAACCTTGCCTTGTAATGACGTAATCATGGTATGGCTGTAGTTGCAGAGCCATGATCGAGTTGCGAGTGGCGTTGGTTAAATGTAGTCCATTGCACCCAACTCACTTCTTTTTTTGTGGATGATTTCGTCCCTAGCTTCCGGAGATGCTCGTCGAACTTTTGCACGGCTTCTGCGAGCTTGCGCCGTAGTTAGCTTCTCCATTACCATATTTGTTGAATTTTCCTGGACACTTTAAATCACCGGGCCGGAACCGGAACAAGGATCAAATATAGCGTTAGGGTCATAAATCCTAGCGCTCCCAAGCGAATCTTACACAAGGTAAAATATCGGTCGAGGATTATCTTGAATCTCGACTACTCGGTACTTCCCTTGACCATTGCGAATTGATAATGTTTTATTGCAGATTCTTATATTTATATCATAGGCATTACTTTCTTAACCTAGTCTACCTCTATTGTTATTGAGGAAATGCTGACGCCTCGTCCTTGTCATAGAGGAATTGTATTTCCTCTATGTCCTTGCGAAGACTGCATACTGTTGTTTTGAACAGGTTGCCTTTTGCCTCCTAGTGTTGTAACTGTTCCGGGTTTGCCAGCATTTCCTTATTTATACTGCTAAACTTAACTGATATTCTTCCTGATTAAATTACTGAATTCTGGCGGACGTGGGGATCTGTTCTAAATGAGCAGCTTTAAAAATTCAATGAGAAAGAAAATGGATACTATTCAAAAGGAGTGGTCTCTGACCCCACCAACCTTGCTACATAATTAACTTTTACAAGAACTGGTATCGATAGATACTTACCCGTTGAATGCGTTATAGTTTTCATTTGATTATCATAAAATTATCATTAAAATTCAAGTTACAAAGTGCATCTAAAGATTGACGAAGTACGACTATTCGTAGCCGACACGTTGTGGACGCACCATGTATCGCCAACTCAATAAAGTGCTGCAAAAAGTTGCAGAAATCGAACTGAATGAAACTTCATCCCGAATTGCAAGTGATTTTGACCACATTCGACAGTGGATGGAAAAACAACCCCATTTAAATTTTGAAATAGGTAACTCATTTGCCTGCTCATTTGCTTAATGAACTGTGTGTTCAAATTACATTTTTAGAGGATCAGATGCTGTTGTCCTTCCTTCGCTGTAGCAAGTTCAGCTTGGAGCGTACAAAAGAAAGGATCGACTGTTACTACACCATGCGGACACTCTCACCTGAAATATACACAAATAGGGATCCTCTCCTGCCAGAAATACAACTTATACTAGATACGGGGTAAAATTTCGAGAGAATAACAATTATGTAATTTCAAGTTTCAGCGTACTTCTTCCGTTACCTAAACCATTGAGTGACGACGGGCCCAGATTACTTTTATTTACTTACGGAAGCAAACTCAACCCGGAAACCATGACCGTGTCCAATGTTATAAAGACAATGTATATGATAGTGGACATTCTAGTGAAGGAAGACGATCGATGTGTTATTGGCGGAATAAATACCTGGTCAACTGTGAAAAACCTTCCTGCAAAATACGTTTTTCATTTAACGGCGCCTCTGATTAAAAAATACATAACCATCGCTCAGAACGGAACTCCCATACGACTTAAGGGTATGTACGCTACCGAATGTCCTCCGATATTCCAATACGTCTACGAAGTTTGCAAACTGTTTTTCACTAAAAAATTGAGCGACAGGGTGCGTAGTGTGCCGTTTGATGCATTTTGGTAGCCTAAACGCTGTTTCAGATGTCCATTTATGCGCAAACTGACTGCAAGGAGTTTTACGAGAAAATACCCAAGCACTTAATGCCCGAGGAGTACGGGGGCAGCAATGGATCCGTGAAGCAATTAACAGGTTTAAACCATTGTTCCCAAAAATGAATATTTCTCTCTATTCCATCTTAGTTGAATGGAAGAGGAAGGTGGAAAGTTATCGAGATTGGCTTATGAAAGACGAAGAAAGGAAATCTAACGAGGACTTACGTCTGGGCAGTCCGAGGACCAGTTCTGATGTATTTGGGATGGAAGGATCATTCAGAAAACTAGATATTGATTAATTCGCTCAAATGGAAATAAAATCCAGTACTACACAAACCATTTCTCTATTATTTCATACCGATAAATTATTAACAGTTCTCGCAACAACCACCTACTGTACTAAGCGTAAAGGACGCAAACTTGATTATTAAAAATAGAAAGTACTCGAAGGGATTGCGATTTACCGAGTTGATCATCTCTCGCGTTTTTTTTTACTATCCATCATCAATTTGTTCTTATAACAGATTGAAAGCAATAAAATTTACTCAATGGAAAGTAACAATTATAATGGTTGTTTAGTGGGTTTACTTTGGGACTGATATAGATGATGTTGTTTGAGCGAAGGCACGCATATTTAATTATCATAACAAATCAGATAGCATTATCGACCTACGTGACAATCTGAGTTATTTTTAGAACAGAGTTAATTAGCTTTAGTCATGTTCAGTGTAGCAAAATTGTAATGATATCATGCAAGTCCCAAGACCAATGTCTCTATATCTCGAAAAGGGGCTTCGGAATATTTTGAAAATTTTACAGTTCAGATTCCAATAGGCGGAATCTAAAACATTTTCAAGCTGGTTACCGGAAGTTGATGCCAGCATGATTAATGGAACATCCTATATACCATCTCAATTTTAGATTCTACCTATACATGATATTTTTGATGTCAAGAATAAACTTTTTGGTCGAATCATAATTTCCAATTTCTTGGTTATGTGTTAAGATGTTTCCCACATGACGCAGTCGACTTAGTTAATTAACCCACAAGCGAAAGTGAATAAATTTATTGCTGTTTCTCCGTCAAAATCACACAATGAAGGAAATCCAAAGGTCAGCGGCTAACCAGGCACCCAACCCGGAGGTGATTCTTCCTCAATTGTTGCAAGTTGTGGATCTACACCCAGGTCCTTAATCAGCAAAAAGCTTCCTATAGAACTGCATCAACCCCAATTCACGTCCCAGCAGTGAAGTCTCTTACTCTTCCAAGGTTTGCCTCGCCGGATAATTTGACAATTCCGCGGTTCCTGGATTGGAAGCTCCGTTGAAAAGGCTACTTCCGTACCCAGCAACTCCCCCAACAGCTCCTAGACACTCAATATGGAATCCTTCGATCGGCCCTTGATTCTGAATGGACAATGCTGTGGAGTAGCTCTCGCCTTAGCATTACAAGTTCTACCCAAATGGATGACATTCTCGAGAAAATGGAAGCATTTATTTATGTGTATCTCCACATAAAAACACATTATAAACACATGTCAATGTTTTGAAGTCTTATCGGACGAAACGTCAACCAATTTGTAAATAGGATGTATTAAAAACTCGATACTCGCTCCTTTTTCTTTTCTCGTTAACTGAATTTTCTTCAACTGACACCAACTATTTGCATCTTTCAGAACTTTCACATAATTTGGAAAGAATCTCTTAGTAACCTCGCCAAGACCCTCAAGAGCGGTATTGAAAAACGTCCCTGATCTCTGTGAAATATTTCAAGAATCCTCTATGAACCATTAAATATTCCACTAAGTATAATATGTTTCCTGATATTTTTGCTAAAAAAGCTGGACTGCGGTACAAAGGGTCCCTGGTTCGGTCCGGGTTTGGGCATGGATATTTGTAAATGTATAGTGGGTTGGGTTGGTAGAGCAGCCTTGGATGAAAGCCCGCCCACTCAAAAATGAAGGCAAAAAAAAAAATAATAAAGTAGATTGTTTGCAGATGTTTACCTGAATCAGTAAAATTCTAAAGAATTCTCCAAAACCTTGAAAAACCTTTAATAATCTCCAGAATATCTTCTTGAGGAGTCTGTGAAGAATCTCTCACGACGTTGTTGCAAGTAGAGGGGGTTTCAGCCAAGACTGCTCTACCAATCAACCCAGTATAGATTTACAAATTTCCATACCCATACCCGGATTCGAACCAGGAACCCTTCGACTTGAGCAAAATTAGCAACAAAAATGTTAGATTAGAAATTCATTTGAGTAATTGTTACATCTTCATTCGAATTAATTGGTTTCTACGCCTTCTCATTAACTTAGAGGTAAATGCGTTTGGACGGATGTTGTATGTAGTATTTTTAGAGGGCTTTCCTTTCGACCGGGTACCTCCCGCTGAACAATACCAGCCCAAATCGAGGGTGTTAAAACTATCAGGGTGGTTCTGTGCGAAGATATCAATTTAATTAGGCGAAATACCTGTGTCGACCTTAACAGGGAGATAACGACCACGTTGAAGTAATTGTATTGATTGCACCGACCATCAGAGCACTTGGGCAATTAAATAAACATCCAATTAACTGGATCAAGTTTGTTTTGAGTTTTTATTAATTGAATGAACCAGTATTTCTTTTGGTACCTAAATTGTTTTTACTGTTATTACTGCCCTTCATTTCATACGGTGACAGTTAAGATAGAAATTTAGTGGCACTTAACCCTACTGGCCAGTGTAACGAAGGACCGAAGATCATATGCCGAAAACGAACTACCGCTGTGGAGATTCTCACGCTTTTGTTTTGTTTCCTAACCCTGAGCTATCAACCGGACTCTGATAGGAGATGACCTAAGCTTCTAAAACTATACAAATCCAGATTCGGAAGATCTACTACTGCCTAGTAGACATAGACATTCAAGAATTAAACTATTATATAAAGCTTTTATTTTTCATTTGCCTATTATATGCCAATTATATCTGTCATATGAGATATATAAAGCAGTCTATGACGCCAGAGGGCATAATGAGAGGGCATAATGAGATGACAATCCATTATGCCCTCTCATTATGCCCTCAAACTGCCTGTCAAATATGTTGATGGAGTTATGTCATAAAAAAGATGCTACTTACATTACATTTGTATATTGGAAATGCATTATTTGGAACGATGAAAAATAAAATGTTGTATGCACCTCAGGCATTACTCGATATTTAACCCTCGGGCGACTTACAATCCCTCGGGCCAGAGGCCCTCGGGCTCTGTCGCCCTCGGCATAAATATCGCCTTAATGCCCTTGATACATAAATAACTATTTCGATACCTTTTATATTCTTCCCGATAATCGACGGTTTCCAAACTTATTAACGACCCTTTGTATGTATTCAGGCTCAGAAAAATGACTGGGCCATCAAAACAGCTTGGATTTATTTGATTCTAGCTCCAAGTGATGATAAGCCAATTTGATTTGAAGTTCATTGTGAAGAAATGCAAATAACTGAATCCATGGATAAACCATCTGTAGTATTGTATAATAATTAGTTAATACTTCATCTTACAGCATTTTAGGGTTTTGGTTTAACGTAACGCTATCACACACCGCTAAGTATCCGTTGGTGGAAATATGGCAACCTTATCTATTACTTTAAATATCTACACCTAATTAATAATTAATTAATAGTGGTGTAGTGATATCTGAAATTCCACATACTGGTGTAACAACCGACATAATTAATGTAATTTGAATGCGAGTGACTTTTTCAGCAAAATTTAGTCCACCAGGCAAGAATTACGCATAGATAGGAGAAATTAGTCACCTTCTGCAACCATTCTTTACACCAAAAGGTGAGCATTTTATGTCCAATTATACCTTTTTACATTATCCAAGAAAAAACTTCACTCAGGGTTTGCGGTTTTGTTTTATGGGATAATTACGTTAAGATTGAGTGTAAATTTTACTGCATTTACCGCGATCAATGTGTATAATATAGTACCCTTCTGGGATAAACAAGCCTTACAAACCGACGCTCGAGTTCGAAATAATTTTTCCATAGAGCATTGTTTGCCTACAATATTTTAGCAGCAATTTTTATTTTACTTGAAGCTAATGTACCTAAATAACTGACGCAATCTAAAATAATTAAAACATATAATTCTGACGCACATACGTAGGAAAAAACTCCCTTAATGCACAAAACGGAACATTGTTTTTTTCTTTTAGATGGGAATAAAGAATAAATATCAGGTATTCACGTAACACATTCACAATAGTTAAGTAATTAGTAAACAAAATTAATTCTCCCCTTGAACTACATTTGTATTTTTGCGTTAAGTAATGAACATTTCTTAGAAATTGGTGCTAATCTCCCACAATTATTTGCAAGAATCATCACTTAGTGGTAGTAGAACCCATTCGATAGACGTCCGTCCACAGTGTCAAGCATGACGCGACAATTGTCCAAGGAACTGAAATTAATAGCTGTAAGTGAACTTAACGAAGTTCCCAATCGAACAAAGAGCGATATCGAATATCTACGAAAATGGATGAAGAAGCAACCGCATCTTGACATTGAGACTGGTAACAAGTCGAGTAATGCTGTACAAAAAAACCTTAATCACTTTTTAGATGACCAGTTTCTGTTGTCATTTCTTCGTTGCAGTAAATTCAGTTTAGAACGTGCAAAAGAAAAGATCGACACCTTTCTCACGGTGAGGGCGCTTGTACCGGAAGCGTTTAGTGAAAGAGATCCATTTCTACCAGAAATACAAGCGATATTAAACGCGGGGTACGTTTTATTTATGATTTTTAATTTCTAAACCGAAGTCTGTAGTGTGATACTTCCACTACCGAAACCATCAGAAGACCACAGTTGCAGAATAATTATGTATACTTACGGCGACAATCTTGATCCGGACACTATGCCGCTTATTAACATTTTCAAAGTGTCCCAAATGATAATGGATATCTTGCTAATGGAGGACGATCATTGCGTTGTTGGGGGAATGAAGAATTGGTCCAATTGTAAAAATGCACCTATTAAGTATCTCGCGCAGTTAACGCCCTTGGTGGCCAAAGAAACTACGTCACTATTAGAGCACGTGTATCCATTTAGGGTTAACAATGTTTGCATCACAAACTGCCCACCGTTTGTTGATTCCGCATTGCGCATTGCCAGAAGGTTGTTCTCTAAGAAAACGAGTGAAAGGGTTAGTATATACCTACGTACCGGCTTATAGCTCAATTTAAACACTTTCCAGATGACAATTGCTAGCGAAAACAGTTTCAAAGATCTATACGACAAAATACCCCAACATCTGCTACCGGAAGAATTTGGTGGCAGCAATGGATCCATAGAGGAGTTGACTGGTTAGTTTCTCCGTTTTGCAACGCATGTATAAGTGTATCTTCTCGTAGCTACCTGGAAAAAGAAAGTAGAAGACTATAGGCAATTTTTCCTCCACGATCACTGGAGGGCGAATATGAAGAATAAACCCATGAAACCCAAAATGATATCAAACGTGTTTGGAACAGAGGGATCCTTCAGACAATTAGAGATTGACTAACACTGAATTTAAATACAAAGGTAATGGTTAATTTTTGTATGTATTTATAGCTCCTTAATAAATTATTTATTTGATTGTTATATGTATATGGGATGTGTTTCAGTACAATTGACAATAAAGCCAGCAATATGATTATTACGTCTAGTCACCTTTTATCTCCCATGATCTCAACTAGCATTTATAGAATATTTTAATAAAGACCAATGAGTGGCCGCTGTGAGGCAGTCGCGGGGCTCCATATTTTTTCGCCGATTGCCTTGATTTCACTACGTCCAAAATGGAATAAGGTGACCATAACAGATGGAAAGTGAACCAGAAGTTGGAAACACAATCGATGTTGCAACTGTAAACGGTTTCCTTGTGAGGGTGACTGCAGGGTGGCACCATATTTGTTCGGTATATCAGCGAGACACATTCAGAAATTGCAAGGACTCGAAGAAGGGAGGCATTCGAATAACCCGAATGACTTTCTGACTTTTCTGACACATTGGCAAAGTAAAGGTGGGCAGGGTGAATAATGACTCGTGCCCTAGCCAAAACGAAGTAAATATAGTAATAGTAAACCAGATAGGCTCGATAGTAAACTTTAAAAGAGAAGGGAGAATACCAAAAGTGGAAACAAGGCAGACTAAGATATCCTTGTTCTGGCCTCGATAAGCTAAAGAAGTAAAATAACTGACAGGGTAAAACATATACCAGAATGTTGTTACAATCGAAGGTGTATGTAATAAAACGTTATACAGGGTGACAATTTGAAAACTTACCACCCCCCATATCTTAGTAAATAAACGAGATATTTAAAAAAATCAAAATCCGTTTCGGTAATTCGGAGGGGGAATCACAATGACATAGTTGGCGGCGCACCCCCTCCAACCCCCTGCGCCCCAGCCACCCCAACTTTTAAATCTTAAATAGTGACCGCCCATGTGTGATACGTCGTTGGAAAGCTCTGAAAAAATGCTTTCCAACCATACCAAATAGCATTACATTTAGGTTAGTAATTATCGTGCAAATCAAAAAATAAGCATGGAAAATCGTATTTAACTTGAACTTCCAAAGCCGACTTGACAGCAACTCATTTTTGATCGCCAGTTATAATCTATTCTCAAACTCTTGTCGAACCTTTTCAAATGTTGGTTTTGCAATATTTCGACATTCTTGAATTATTCTCTGTCTTTGTTCGTCTATGTTCGCCGGTTGCGTTTTAAATACGACAGATTTCAAATGTATCATATTAGTTTATTTTTTGATTTGCACGATAATTACTAACCTAAATGTAATGCTATTTGGTATGGTTGTAAAGCATTTTTTCAGAGCTTTCCAACGACGTATCACACATGGGGGGTCACTATTTAAAATTTAAAAATTGGGATGGCTGGGGCGCAGGGGGTTGGAGGGGGTGCGTCGCCAACTATGTCATTATGATTCCCCCTCCGAATTACCGAAACGGATTTTGATTTTTTTAAATATCTCGTTTATTTACTAAGATATGGGGGGTGGTAAGTTTTCAAATTGTCACCCTGTATAAAGAAGTCGTGGAAAATAAAAAAAATTACCTTTGAACTGTGGTTGTTACGACCTTTGGAGCTCAGAAGGGCGCTTTTCTGCCTTATCTGCAACAGATCCAAACACAAACAAACAAAAAAGAGGAACAGTGAATAGCGCGAGACATAAAGTGCTGGTTCAACCATGAAAATTTCTCAGGAAAATAACATGCACAAATTATTTTCTTATCTTCTCTACTGTTAAGCTACTTAACCCCTATTATTAAGTAGTCAGGTGTGGTCAGTCCCTGGGGCTTCTCACAACCCTGAGTACTTGTGTTGGTAAAGTTCCCTTTGTTACCTTTAGCAAGTCATGGTCGAGTTTGATTTCTCGAAACTCCTGCATCGGCAAATGGCGGTCAACCTTTAGACAGAAAAGCCTGGAATAAGACGTTGTCCAAATGTCGTCCACGGCGCGCCTCAGGCGTGGACGCACGTGAAAATGTGCTACTGATGTCAATATAGTTACCTTTAGGATTCAATAGCCGGTACCATCTAGAACTCCTGGTGCACAATCATTAAAGCTTTTATTTATGAATAATATTGTCCTATCGCGTTGTAGTATCGCCGCTTTCCGTCGTCTTACCGTTTGTTGTTGATAGTATCGTTATATATTTGATCTAGCAGTTTAGTACATGGTTATAATTACAAAGTATTGAAGTGAATTTCATGCTACAGCGCTTTTTAATATTGTATAGTCACGTAAAACTCTTAGACGTGCACCTGAAAATTCTTAACATATTAACGTATTGCAGTTCGATCTGTTTTTATTTTTTCATGTAGAACAGACCTACTTTTTTGCTGACTGCTCAAGATGTTAATTTATACCAGACTATAACAGGACGGATTAGTGTCACGAATAACAAGGAAATGCACACTAAGACGGAAATGTGTAGACTACTAGGAAGCAAAACGCCAAATCATCAGCATTTCTTGCATATTAACGTAATTGAAGTACGTTGTGTTGTGTATCTCTGTGATATAAATAGGAGGGTGAATCAAATTTGCAAGACTTTATTTTTAATATTTTTTTTATTATACATTTAAAAAAACAATTATAGGTTATTTTTCTACATATCCTCCTGCTTTCGAAACGCATTTGCACGACGCATGTTCATAGGACATTTTCGACTCGAATGCACATAAGGAACACGCAGTAACATTTTAGTGCAGCGGAGAACCGGCGCTAACTCGCTTATTTGAGGTAGTTTTTTTTTTCGGAGTAGAAAGAATTGGGACCCACACCATTTTGTTCAGAAATGTTTGAACCTTCAGAATCTCGCTTTACGACATTTTCCCGTGGTCCTGACAAAAGTTATAGGCCGCTAAAGTTGAACTTTACTCATTTTCGCGCGCGCGACTAGACCACCGAAAGTATTTATTTTCTCCGCAACTAAGCGATATACATCAATAATTCCTTTTGTAAAATGAAAGTACATTTATAGCAGAATCTAAAGCATTCATATTTACCTACCTTGTCTGTAGCTTAGTTGCGGAGAAAATAAATACTTTCGGTGGTCTAGTCGCGCGCGCGAAAATGAGTAAAGTTCAACTTTAGCGGCCTATAACATTTGTCAGGACCACGGGAAAATGTCGTAAAGCGGGATTCTGAAGGTTCAAACATTTCTGAACAAAATGGCGTGGGTCCCAATTCTTTCTACTCCGAAAAAATTTTTTGAACGATTTCGCGGCTCTCTCCGCTGCACTATTTTGTCCCTTTCCTTGCGGGAAACCATGTATATCTTTTCAAACAGATGTGGCTCCATTTGATGGATTTATTCATGAATGTGTAAATGTATTCCTGAACTTTGTCTTGGGTTTCAACCATTAAATTCAAATTAATTAATTAATTACCATCCAATAAAATGTACATTTTATTTGAAGAGTCATTATTATTACACCTAGTATACCGTGTGTCTAACACTTTTCTATTTAGCTCAAAATAAGTCATACTAAAACGTTGGTATAGTATAGAACATTTACTGCGAACCTTTATAGCTATGTACTGGTGCAGCAAACAAATGCTATGAAGACTGAGTAGGTACTAGCCAGAAACAATATGGGCGCTACCTGGTCGTAAATCTTTGTTGTGAATGAAGGCTTGTTGATACCAGTAATTAGTTGGATGTTTTTTAGATCCGAAATTAACTCCCAAAGCAGATACCCCTTCCAGTGACCAAGTTTATTACAGACTCGTGCTTAAGGCGTATAGAGTTTTCGACAGTTCATGTTATAATATAAACAACGTCCTCGTTTTCAAAGACTTTGAACTTTGCATGGATACCGAAGTCCGTTAATTATTTCTGCGAGTACGAAAGGCATAAATTAATATGTCTGTTAAAAATCTAGTTACACCAACCCATGAGAGCAGTTTTATGAAAGTCGATTGGATTGCTGTATGCAGATACCAACGCTCGAGCAGCGCCTATCAAAGGTAACCTTAACCTTGTTTATTTAACCGTTGAGTGATTGCCTCAACGACTTAACTAAAAACATTTATCGTGATTTTGTCAATGTAGCACATTACCACAATTGTGTGAGGAGCTGGAATTGTAAAATTCCTTTATTTTATAGTGTATGTTAAAAAGACCTTTTAATAGGTTTGAATGAGTAGGCTAAGCCGTTCTTTAACTGTAAGGATAGATAAAGTGATCACTTTAACCGTAACGGTAGATAAAGTGAAACAGATGACTGTGCGTTCTAATGACATCTGTCATTCTTATTTGAAATGCACGATATAAAATGACGTTCAGAATATATGACAATTCTGTTTCTATGGAAACTATCGCGACTGCAGAACCTAAGCTTGCTGTTTTTGACGTCCCTAAATTAAATTCAGAATTGTCAGAAGCCTTACAATCATTTATATGGCTCCTGCTATAAAATAAAGTTTTGTAATATACACGACGATAAACGTAAACTATCCATCTCGTGAAAGTTATAATAATAAATAACTATTGTAGTATCTAGTACAAAATGGCACGTCCGCTTGTTGAAGAACTAGCACGGATATCCGAAACTGAATTACATGAAGTACCGAAGAGAGTTCCGGATGACATGATATACATTCGGAACTGGATGAGGGAACAACCCCATCTTCCGGTAAACATTGGTAAGGCAACCGCAACATGTTGTTTGATATAGCTCGCATCATTTTTAGACGATAATTTATTGCTATCACTTCTTCGTCTGAGCAAATTCAGTATGGAACTGACAAAAAGACGTGTCGATGAGTATTTTACAATTAAGACACTTGCACGAGAAATGTTTACCAACAGAGATCCCTTTTTACCAGAAATACAAGCAGTGCTAAAAGCTGGGTAACTTTTGTAGACTATTAGTAGCCTCGTTATGCATTTCTCGATTTTAGCGCTATACTTCCTTTACCAAAACCTACCGATCGAAGCTCCCGGATTATATTGTACAATTACAGTAATAATCTAAATCCCGATATAATGTCCTTAAAAAATATATTGAAAGTGGGAGGAATGCTTTCAGATATTCTGTTGCGTGAGGATGACTACGCGGTTGTCGCCGGTATTACAAACTGGACAAATTGTAAAGATTTTCCTGTTAAATATATAGGAGAATTAACACCGGCCTTCTTCGGCAAATATGCGCGCGTCATAGACGAAGCATTTCCGCTGCGTGTCACTGGGATATACATTACGAGTTGTCCGAAGATACTGGAATCTGCATTTAATCTTGGAAGAGGCTTCTTGTCCAAAAAGATAAACGAAAGGGTAGGTGTCACAACTACATCGTTACCCATACCAAATTTTAATAGCGAAAGATTTGTTCAGGTGTCTCTCTTCAGCGAGGCAAATTTTCAAGAACTGCACAAGAAAATACCACTACATCTTTTGCCGGAAGAGTACGGTGGAACAAATGGGTCGGTGAAGAAACTAACAGGTAAGATTTTCCGTGCACTTCAAAGGGCCAATTCAATTTTCCCGCAGAGATATGGAAAGACAAAATCGAAAGTCACAGAGATTTTTTTCTTGAGGATGAAGAATTTAGGACCGATGAAAGTTTAAGGATAGGGTTGCCAAAGACAAACTCGGATTTGTATGGTTTAGAAGGATCGTTTAGGCAGTTGTTAATCGATTAGCAAAATACACATTTCATGTCTTTATATAATATAAAATGGTTCTGTACGTGTTATTGTAACTGAACTCCTCTTAGACAGCTAGACGGATTTTGATGAAAGTTTTTTTACGTGTCTGTGTGTGCCTCCGGATGGTTTAGCATTGGTCCCATCGGATTATAAATTTTTTTTAAAACTCCTTTTTCATTGATGTAGCACTCTGCTATTTCGTGTACCGCTATAGATACATGCTGGGTCTCTGTGATCATATATCCGTCAATATTTGGCATACGAAGTCGCGGGGGGAAAATCTAGTTAATATAATATAATGGAAAAAGCCATTGTCAAATGTAGCGTGGGTACTATTTTGTTTGAGACTGATTTCAGCTTTTTCTAAATATAGAATTTGCGATTTTCGTGAGCCTGTGCCACTTTTTTATAAAACCTTTAATACCACAAATATAATCAATCATTCTAGCTAGGCTTGTTTGTGAGATACAGGGTGACAACGAAAATTTTTGCTTTTTGAGAGTAGTGGTGTAATCAAAAACATTTTGGACCACCATTTCATTTAACCCAAAGTATCCTGTATCTCTTTACGTCATCATTTTGCATTCTTTTTCCTGATTACATTGATGTATCACAACCTATATTTTTTTAATATATTTATTGCTGTGTGCATTAATCCGGCCAAAAAGAACCATAAACAACAAAATAATTGCAATGCCCCCCGTTGGGCGAGCAAATAAAAATGCTGTGATCCTTGAACTGGGGACCAATTAAAACACTTCACAATCCTAAGTAGCTCTTTATTAAACATTTCTCTCTGTACACATCCGCAGTACGGCACCGAAATATAATTCAATTCTGACTTTAAATAATAATAATAATAATAATAATAATAATAGCCTTTATTCCCCATAGGTCTCATATCAAAATTTCACATATCAAAATATAAAAAACGATTATAGTTATTCATAACAATAAAGAAAAACTTCTAAATTAATGATCAAATGGCAAGATAAGAACTAGAAAAGGAAAAGAAGAAGAAGAAATTTAGTATTACGTATTTATGAGGAATCACACGGTGCCAATTCAAATTAGTAGTTAAACTACCATTGGTCTTCTTGCTGATTACAAACAAACAATGGCCAAGATCAAATCGTTAAATTCGAAACGGGCCGTTACGAAATTTTGAAAAACATTTAAAATGAACTTTGAGCTCGAATCGCAAAAATTAATCGTAATTGAGCATGAGACTTCTCTCATGAACACACGACTTACATAATTTTACATAAATAAAATTTATTCCACAATCACCCATGAAATTAAACAATAAAATGTTATCTAACAACAATTGGACTACAACGTCCGAATAAACAAATCGCGCGTTTGCATTAAATTACAATACAATAAACAACTACCAAGAAATTTTAAAATAAATAAATAAACAATAAATTGCTTAGTTTTCGACCACCTAACAACACGTGACACTATTTTTACGTCATATTCCCCAACAGCTTTAACGACATTCATTGTTGCATCTGGTTTACGCAAAAATACGCCACCGAAAACTCGAAACGGCCGCCCGTGTTCCGTGTACGAATACTAAAACATAGACGCGCGTGTCTCCTTCAATTTCACAAACAAAATCAAACTCGGCCTCGAACTTGGCAATACACGTCGAACTTGTTGAAAACTTTCTTCTAAAACCACCGCGACTCGGCCTTACAAAAAGTTCGCAAAACTCGAACTTTTGCAAACGGCCCCTTCAACAGACCGCAACTCGGCCTCGAAACCGGCAAAGGCCCCTTCTTCTTCTATTCTTTCTTATTTCTCCCCTGAATACTGAACGTTATCATGTAACCATCTCACGAAGCAAAGCACATATAAAATATATCGCGACTTTAAACATTTTAAATATGATGAATTCGTTGCAGAATTACAGGTCTTGCCTTGGTATCGTTTGTTCAATTTAAGAAATGTGGAATGTAAAGTACGTTTTTTAAACGATAACCTTTTATATCTATTTAATAAATATGCTCCTATTAAGAAAGTCCGACTTACTAGACCAAAAACACCTTGGCTGACAGACTTTATAAAAGCCCTTATGCATTCAAAAGATAAAAGTCTGTCGAAGTTCAAAAATGAAAAAAATACTAGCTCTTGGAATGAATACAAGCGACTTCGTAACTTATGCACTAATGCTGTTAGACAATCTAAGCGTCACTATTTCCACACGTTTGCGACCGGGCAAAATAAAAACGATTTATGGAAGGTACCTACTGAGAGACATGAACATTTTCCCAAACAAAACAAATTATTTGCCTTCTGACTTTAATGACCCTGATCTTATTAATGACCATTTTTGTGACTCTATTACCGCTCATAAAATTTCACCTGATCCAGAATTGTTAAATTTTTATAATACAAATTGTAAACTCAAGGACTTAAATCCTTTTAGCTTCACTCTCATTAGTGAATCGGATATTGCTATGATACTCTCAAAAATTACGACAAACTCTGTAGGCGCTGACGGGGTGAGTAATTCAATGATTACTGTTTGTCTGCCCTTTTTGTCGCCTTATCTACTGCATGTGGTTAATTGCTGCCTTGAGACAAACTATTTCCCTAATGCTTGGAAAGTAGCACACATTCCTTTACCTAAAAGTAAAAATGTTCGCACATTACAAGATCTCAGACCTATAAGCATTCTACCAGTGTTATCCAAATTGCTAGAAAGAGCAATGGAAATACAAATTAGGAAATTTTTGGATGAAAACGACATTTTACCGCTTATGCAGTCGGGCTTTAGGACTGGATATAGTTGTTCTACAGCTTTATCATGCATTGTGGACGATATCATTACAGCAACCGATAACAACATGCTCACTGTTAATGTTGTGGTAGATTATTCTAAGGCATTTGACATGTTGGACCACGAATTGCTAATTTCAATCTTACATTTTTTTGGTTTTAGTAAAGACGCGTTAGAATTAGTAACTAGCTTTTTAACAGATAGAACTCAAAGAGTAAAAATTCAAGACTCACTGTCGTCAGAACGGAACATTCATTCGGGAGTTCCACAGGGCTCCATACTCGGCCCTTTATTTTACACTATGTACACTGCTAACTTACCAAATTGCATAAATACATGCAAACATCACCTATATGCAGATGATACACAAATTATATCTCTCATTTCCACCTTCTGACGTAGATCTTGCTTTAAATAAACTTACCAGAGATTTAAATAACTTATTTGAAACATCCACAAAATACTCCCTGATTATTAATCCGTCTAAATCTGTAGCGCTGGTGTTCGGAAAGGCTCACCACCGAAACAATGTTCAGCAGCAGATTTATCTAAATGTTGGCAATCACGCCATTCCAATAAAAACGGAACACAAGAACTTAGGACTAATCATGGATAGCGATCTTCGTTTTAAAAGTCATATAAACCTATGCATTCAGCGCGCTTTCAGCAGTTTAAAATCTTTGTATATCCACAGATACAACTTTAACTTTGATACCAAAGTAAAACTAATGAATGTGCTAGTTCTATCTCATTTTAATTATGCAGATTGTGTGTATGGACCTTGCTTGGATGGAACCAGCAGGAAAAGACTACAACGAGTGCAAAATTCTTGTCTACGGTTCATTTTCGGCTTGAGAAAATTTGATCATGTCTCCCATAAGATGTCTGAAATAAAGTGGTTGAATATGGAAAATCGCCGTTCCCTTCACTTTTTATATATGTGTCATCAAATCGTTTTAACTCATAAACCACAGTATCTTTATAACAAAAATACTTTCCGTACAGACGTACACCATCTCAATTTACGTAACAAAGGACTTATGACTATTCCAGCTCATAGGTCTTTTCGAAGGGCGTTTTTCTTATCAAATTGGAAAACAATACAACTCGTTGCCAGCTTTTATCAAAAATCTTTCCTTAAAGCCTTTTAAAACACAAACGCGACTTTTACTTTATAGAAGTCAAATCCAATGTTAACCAGTTCTTTGAACACTTTAAGTTTTTTTTATTGTGTTTTTTCTACATTTTTTTAACAAACGCATGTATACCGTTTTATTTAAGAGAAACATCACTCATTTCGCCATAAAAAAATGAAGTGTATGTATATTGGGGTAAAGTGGAAGAGCAGACCAATTAGTCTGAACTTCACCCGTTCACTATTATATATTTGATATATCGTTATGCCTTATTTTTCATTTTTGTGTTGTTACTTTTGTATATAATATGTGAATAAAGATCATTAATTAATTAAAAAAAAATTAATTAACGATCATTCGCTTTTTAAACCATTCTAAGAGACACCTTTCGATTTTTCACATTCACGTGAGACACTTTCTACGGACAGGAGCTTTTTCCCGTTGGGCAACTGATGCTCATTTTTCAGAAAATTTTATTCAAACTGTTTTTCTAAGCTCAGTCAACCGACCGCTAATCTACCTAAACGTCTTTACCAACTCCCGGTCGCTATTCTAATCTGGTTTTCAGGCTTTGTACAAAATAATCTCCTCTCTGAACACTAAGGAATTTTGCAACGCCTACTCAACGCTCGAATATTAATTGGCGGTGGTATTTTATTAATTTTCATTGTTTCATACCACCTTGCAGGATTGTATACTGACTTTCGGCTTCTGCGGTGTCAGTTTATTTTGAGCAAGCTGTCCTTAGTTTGCAGAGTTACAGAAATAACTTAACACGACCTATTTCCAACGTGTAATTCAAAACCAACAACGAGGCGACAAATACTCTTTAGAACAAATAATTCATTGACAAACGTGTGAGAAGATTACGGAAGCTTGCTGCTATTACAATCGACCAAAAAGAAAAAGTTGAATTTGTTATAGGTACTGGTTTGGTGCAATACGTTCTTGACTTTTTTTAAACGTTGAAATTGTTCTTCCGCATAATGAAACGGGAAAATCCCCAAAATACACAATTTCCTTATGCACAAAAACCCGTAGATTTTTTGTTTTCTTCAATATCATATCCTTCAACCTTTTTCAATTCTCGTTTACTTCGGAGTTTTCCGATTCTCAACTGTTCAGATGTTTAAAATTCGGTGTACAGTTTCTTTCAATTCTTTTGATTTTTAAAATTTTTTATGTTGATATGATGCTCTGCATTTCTCGGATTATCTAAATCTTAAGTCTTTAAAATCTGATTTTTCGGTTCTTTGAATGCTTCGTAGTTTTCAGGATATCCCGGACAACGGACGTTTTCGGAATGTTTTACAAAATTGGAAAATATCCCAGACAATTACTTCAACGACACTAAATGTTCCTCTAATGTAGAAATCGCAGAAAGTTTCGGTTTGTTTTCGTTCGTTTCGTTCGTATCACGCTACATTATTATATAAGAACATCGGGACATTTAAATACAAATACTGAACAGTTTCCAGACTGTGATTGTTACCTTGTAAATTTGAGTAAACACTGTTATCTGATTATTCTAATTATGATAGTTTGACCGCTTTGGTATATGCACTGTAAAAAAACGAACGATCAGTTAAAGACTAATGTGCATGTGAATTTACGTCACTTCCTTATTTCCATATTTTTTCGTTTTTAACAAAGCTCGTAAATTTGAATAAATGCTTAAATCCGATTATGTAAGGACTGCAGGTAAGTGCTTGTAAAGTGATCCTGGTTGCACGAATATCATAATTCAGTTACTACTTTCAAAGCAAGGCCCGGTTGAAAGAGGTACACGATCGCGTAACGGACGTTGCGATGAACTAGTAGATATCCGTAAAAGGTTTTCATTTGCTGGCTTTTTGATAACCCCAAAGTGTATGACGTTACGGTAACGGCTACAAGCTGGGCTACAGGTCATAAGTGTATATTACTCTATTAAATTTAAGTCAGTAGAACCTAGTCTATATTGTTAGCAGAAATCCGAAAAATGGCATCACGATATCGACCACTTTCAGAGCAACTTAAAAAATTTGCTCAAGAAGAACTAAATGAAGTTGAAGATCGGGTGGATGACGATGTCAGACACATTAAAGATTGGTTTGTAAAGCAAGCCCACTTGAACTTTCAATTAGGTAAGTGTTGAGTGGGTAAACATTTTATAGAGTTGACTTCTTGTAGAGGATCAGTTAGTGTTATCCTTTCTTCGCTGCACCAAGTTCCGATTAGAAAAAGCCAAAGAAAAAATTAATGGTTACTTTACTATGAGAAGTTTAATACCCGCATTGTTTAGTACCCGAGATCCATTTTTACCGGAATTACAACGTCTTCTTAACGCCGGGTACAGTAAAAATGAAATCAACGGATCCTATGAATACATGCGTCTAACATCAAGTTACTTTTAGAATAATGGTTCCGTTACCAAAAGTAGATGAACGTGGATCTAGAATACTACTAAGCACTTCTGGAAAAAATCTCAATCCAGACACAATGAGCTTACAGAGTTTTGCAAAAATATGTTACATGATCGCAGATATACTACTCAGAGAAGACGACCAAGCAATCGTCAATGGTTTGACTATTGTTATTGCGTGCAAAGGTGCACAACACAAATATGTACCTCAGCTAACACCCACATTTATCAAAGAACAAGCATACGTTGTGCTTAACGCCCCTTTCAGAATCTCCGGCATGTATATTGTAGATTGTCACCCAATCTTTCACTATGCATATAACATCACAAGTTTTCTCCTCCCACAGAAGATAAAGAAAAGAGTATGTACTCCTTTCCTATCATGTGCATTCATTTCTTCTTTAAGGTGGTAATATTTACTGAGGCTAACTCACACGAGGTATATACTAACATTCCTAGAGATCTGTTCCCAGAGGAACTAGGTGGCAGTAACGGTTCCCTAAAAGAGTTGACTGGTAAGGTCCCAATTTTTGTGTGTATCTTATTTCTAGCATTGGTACTAATTTTAGTTGAGTGGAAGAAGAAGGTGGAAAGTTACAGAGAATGGTTTCTTCAGGACGAAAAGTTAAGAAGCAACGAAGACCTGCGCCAAGGAAAACCTAAGGCGTCTTCCGACTTTTTTGGCACTGATGGTTCCTTTAGACAACTAAACATTGATTAACTCCATTTTCATCTTAATTTTTTTACAGTTGTGTGTTTTTATATACAAACACTGTATTTTATGTCAGTGGAAATAAATTGCGAAGTAATTTACTCTATCGTTCAATTTTTGGGTTGTGAAGAAAATGACAATAATAGTTCTTGAGGTAACGGCAACCATAATACTCCAGCGCATTCAAGTAACGTGTTATAATGCGGATACCCCAAAGTTATGAAATTAACGGAAGCTATTATAGAAGTCAACAGGCTTGAGCCAATTGCCCCTCAGCGTCCAACACTGAAGCCACGCAGTGAAAGTAGTATTAGAATTATTTTCCAGAACATTAAAAACAGAATCGTACAGTAATTCGTTCTTTTCCAAATTGAGCATATCTCGCTGATTTTCTTTCCGTTTAATATACAACCCTTCAATTGACGATGTGGGGAGTAAATAACATTTTCCTAGTTAAAGTGCAATGAATTTCAATCTGTGTTTCACCATTTTAGTAGTGCTAAAGTGTGGGAACTGCCTAAATATTGTGTTTGTAAATGAAAAAATTCTACAAATTGAGTTAAATCAATGTATTTGTTTATAAATTAAGTTTGTTGTTTTGTAATGTAATATAATGTTTTGTTTTATTTTTAAAGATTTGTACAACTGACAAGGTAATAATTGAAGCAATCCATTATAACCTTTTAATCATTTATTGATTATCAATTTACTAGGTTTGTGACACAAATTCTCTCTCTAATAAATGTGGTTTCAATTAAACTAAATGTTCTTGAACATATTATCCTCGCCATTAGAGATTGCCGGTACGTCATAAGTAAATGACTCTAGCTATCCAAAACGTTTATAGTAAAGTCACATGAAAAACAGCACATCAAATAAAGACAGTGAATATTCGAAGTGCATTTGAAGGAAACGAAGTGAGTTATTGAATGAGATAATGTGGTAGAAAGAGAAAAAACAAAAACGAATAACCAATGCGTTTTGTAAACCGTATGAATTTGAACTCTCATTTGACTAAAATAGTTCTTCCGTATATTTGTTTGACAGTTGTGATTTTTAATTGTTTACCTGTCACGCACTTTAATCATCGGTTACGCACTTTTCAATCAGTTCTTTTGAGAACTAATCCGTCACTTACGTGTATCCTATTAATCACGTTAATCTCTCTCTCTACGAATTCCCATGTCTGCAAAGGGTAAAACTTTGCATACAGAAGCACAACAGCTTGTGTTAAACTTAGTGCAACATTTTGAGAAGGAGAAAGAAAACGGTGGTCCATTGATACCCGTATCTGCTGTTTAAGAAGTAAGTGTGATTATATTTACTTATATTTTCATTTAGTACAAACACACAATTATAGCGAGTGGCCAACGCTTTGGGTATATCTGAGAGGACGGTGCGAAGCATCAAGACAAGAGCGTAGGGTAGAAGGAGGATCAACATCAGGATCCAGTTGAGAGGCTGCTTATTTCTCATTTCTGATTCCTAGTAATCTAACATTGTGCTAAAAATGTAAAAAAAGTATAAATATGAAATAGAAGTAGAGTGATAGTGACAGTCGTATATTATAATACCTATATTTTGAACATAATTAATATCCATTTAGTGTATCATTTTGAATTTATCCTTATTGTAAGCCATCATAAGTAACAGTGAGTAACTTTGAAAAGTGGTAGTCTTGCAATGTGCAGCTGGGTGTATGAAAATCGTATAACCTATAAATTGAATGCTCTAATTGTGAATTTATAATTCTTTATCGGCAAACTCACTTTTGAATGCAAGACCCGACCATTGTAATAATTCTGACGTAGCGTAATTACTAAATGTTCACATTTTTGGAAAAATTCCATTGTAATGAGGCAGCTTACAACAATGGGTTTATCTTACCATATGCCCTGTAAAAATAACGCATTAATGACCTGTTAGATTACAAGGATTTTGTTTTCTCACCGTCTTTATTACGTTATATTTTATCGACTAACGATACTTTCTGCGATTTGACAGTTTTGCACCTTCAAATAAACATCCAATAAATGACAGCTGTCGCCATCTCGGAGTATATTTTCTAATCAAGTTCGCATTATTACGGAAGTAATTTGACTCATATTTTTCACTTATAATTGCACAAGAGGTTTGTATTTTACCGAGTAAATTTGGGTTGTTTAGGTAATGAAAATCTGTTGCCTAGCAATTAGACGAGAAAAACTGTCAACTAATAAAAATGCGACACCGCAGGTGGAGCATTTTTAGGTTGACAGTTTTTCGAGTTCAATTGCTAAAAGGAAACAGATTTGAATTGCCACAACCCAAATTTACTCGGTTTAAATACAAACCTCGAGTGTAATTCGGCAGGACAATTTAACGAACAACAAATTCACCAACTAATCAATTATTGACAGACGTCAAACTAGTCATATGGGAAAGGATAATGCGATAATTGGTTCGAAAATGAATAAGTGAAAAAACCACTAGTGCATTTGTCGCTGGAAAAGTTGCAGGTAACTTTTGCCGCTGTCAAAGTGACAATTTCACTGCGGCTTATGCGATTTTTTATACATGAGTTGAATTGTCATATTAAACCATACGATTGTGAACTATGACGTACCGGCAATCTCTAATGGCGAGGATAATAATCTGAAATCGGTCATGTACAGTAAATGTATGACATAAATGTTGTTGTCAAAATGTAACGTTAACATGAGGTAGTATCATTACGTACATTAGTTTTAAACAAAAATAACGGTGCACGTGTAATATTTGTTGTATCTAATTTGGAATGTCCATACCTATTCATAATTGAAGTAAATTATAAATGTAGAATCAATAGCAAAAAATGTCTATTCGCCATTGATTCGATATCCTTCGTTTAACGTGTTTTGCGTCTTTCTTTAGTACATTAATTGCTTTCTGAAGGATATGCCATAGAACATAAGAATTTTGTTTTTATTACGATGAGTTATAGCATAAATTAAACTAAATGCTTTCCGGAATTTTAGCATGCAGTAATTTACGGAATGTGGATATATTTAAATTTGGACCAGTGGTCGAGTTTTTTCCAAACACATTAATTTTGTAAGTATGTATTTTGGAAAAATCTTTCCTAAATCACTTTTTTATTTAGAATCCATTGCGAGACACATTTTTTATATAAGGTGTTGCCTGTTTGGTTTTTCTTACACGGCCCTAAACTATATTTTTTCATATGAATCACCCTATATATTTTGAAGTTTTTGAAAAGAGCATAAAATTTCGTAAATTTGATTGATTACTTATTATATTTATATTAAATATTATTTCCAATATTTATACATTAAAATGTTTTTTTGTTGTAGGCATCTACGCTAACAAAAGATGGCAGGATTGTGTAAAAAGAGTAGAGTGTTGGGCTACGTAACCGGGAGCTCGGGTGTTTGAACCTGGGTTGAGGTGAATTTTTCATATGTGGCAGAGATGGAAATTTCCTTAAATCAATTTCGAGCATTACGCCGGTTACTCCGAATTAAGTTTTCCTGCAGTTTTCCTAATTCGTAAGATACCGGACTAGTATAGAACAACTTAAGACCTTCTGCAGGGGACCTCTAAAAAGCATTATACGGGTCACCCTGTAATTGGGCGAAAGCCTATTGAGGGCCCAGAACAAGAGAGGGACAATAATAAATAAATAAATAATGAGCGTGGTATAATGAAAATCTGTGCTCTATTGTAATCTTTGAGAATTGTGTATCAATTTGAAGTCCAGAAAGTAAAGAAAAACCAGATAAAGTTGTTATTGTTATTGTTCATTTCTATTTTATGATTAAGTATAAATTTTCCAGCGCTTCGGATTCCAGGTGGACCTTGACATCAAGATTTTCCGAGGATTTTTCTAGTCAGTAAACTTGAAGTTTGTAGAAAATTGGGGGCACTGTTACTGTTGAGGGCCCAGAACAAGAGAGGAACAATAAATAAATAAAGACGCAACACAATAACACGCGAGTATAGCGGTTCATGGACCAAAAAGCGAATCATAGTTATCGCAATTAATTCAACGAACTTTACTCCAGTAAATCTAGAAAATTTAATATGGGATAACCCCGGGTACATTTTTTTCTTTTGTTATTCGTTCGAAAGGGTCTCAAAAGCAAAAGCTTAACTATGAGTTTGGGCACTCTTCACCGTTTCTCCGCAACAACACCTAAATACATAGGTGTTGTTGTTCTCCGCCATTTTGAATCCCATTTATTTTTTTAAACGCTCATATCTCGCGTTCTACTTATCGCACAGCGTGTAAATGGGGGTCTTTGGATTCATCAGGACTTATATTTTTTGTATTTTTGTATATTAAAAACACCGCCCGATGCGACAGAAGAAAGTTATTGACGCCCAAAGTCGAGAGAGCTTCGTAAAACACAACCCTCAAAAAAACAAAATAAAAAGCGAAGTAAACTCAATGTCGAGTATTTAAAAAAAACTTCCACTCCAATGAAATTCACGAGGTATGCACGAAAAATTATGACAATCTGCGTCCAACCTCTGTTTCGGCGAAGAGTGCCGAGAAAACACCTTTGCAGAGCAATGTAGCGCCAGAGAAGAACCCGAAGTTTGATTGCAAAACGGTGTGCTTTATATGCTACAAACCCGCTGAAAATACATCGTAAGTAAGGATCTTTTTTTGCGGTGAGAAACCAAAGCACTAAATTCGTTCCTCGATATTCTTGAAACTCTCCCGAAATCAATCAGAAAATTGCAGTAGTTACATTTGACCAGCCATTATACTGGAAGGCAGAGCAAATGGTATCCCGCGCCGATCCGTACAGCTCATTAAAGAACGTCGTAGTAAGACTGTGGGGATTTCATTTGTTGATGTCCTTCATGGGTGCTATCGATTATATCATAGCAAAAAGTTGATTGGAAAACGTACTTAAAGTAATCGTCTTGACCCACAGAACAAACGAAGAGATAGTTTAAAATTAAAGTTTAGAATTTTAAAAATATGAACTTGCGCCATTCCTATTGTGTTTATTCAACGATGCAGGTGTGAGAAAACCCCCAAAAGCAGCATTATTTACAGAATATGATGTACTTTCATCGTCAAATTCATTTGGGAACAGAATATGAGAGGCAATTGAGGGAGGGTTTATACTTCATTGATTGACTTGGACGAGCGACATACTATTTGGAGACATTTGTACGAGTTACGTATCTTTCCAATAATTATCTACTGAAAAAATCCGATCAACCTTTTTGAGGGTTATGCCGAAGGTGCTACAAACTCTTGCAAAAAAATTGCCTACAGACGTAGACCATAGACGAGCAAAAGGTGGACGTGCAGCAAACATTCTTCTTGACGAGTCTACATCATATACAAAAATAAAAGCAAAAATAAATAAAAAAAAATAAACAAATTTTCAAAAATGACTCAAATGCATTTTCTCGCCAATGATCAGAACCAAAAAAATCATAGACATGTGGTAAAAACGCCTAACCGATGACTGATTCAAAGTGAGGCAATCATGGGAAGATGCAGACGTGGACATCGTAAAAACAGCCATTGAGGTATCTCCACGATTCGATTCCGTCATAATCGTAGGAGAAGACACCGACCTTCTAGTACTGATGTGTGTCCTTGAAAAAAAACAAAAAAGTTGGGAGGGGAGCAAGTGTATCAAAAATGTATTCCACAAACAGCTTCAAACATACAGATTTGTTAGAGTTGTTATACATGCATTTTCAGGATACGATACCGTATCTGCAATTTTCAGAATAAGGAAGAAACATATAATTGAAGTGATAAAAAAAATATTGGATTGAAATGATCCCTGGAAGCGACTCTGAACAAAATGAAATTGCAATGGATGGAGAGGCTGTGGTGCTTGCACTCTACGGTGGAACCGATTTTGCTTTCACGTTCAGATGTTAAAACAAGAATTGAGTTATTGGGCTTGCCCCCTACGAGCTCTGTGGCAAAACAAAATTCCCTTCGAACATATTGCCAAATACACCAAAGTGGGTTGGAGAGCAAAAAACCTCCTCGAATGGGGTTTGAAACCGATAACCACAAGAGCTAATTGACATAATATGCAGCAACGCTTGTGGATGCCGGAAAGGAGGTTTAAAATGGCTGGCGTGGATTGGCGGGCTGGAAATCGTGGTATCAAGATGGATTTTTTTAAATACTCGAAATGTAATTGGCTTCCTTTTTTGTTTCGGATACTTTTTTTTACGTTTTTTTACGTTACGTTTTTGAGCTACGATCAAAAAGGGCGGCGAGAAATAGTATATTTCATTATGAGTTCGGAAAGCAGGCTTTTTCCGCGCGATTCATTTAAAGTTGCGTTTAGGCAAAAACTCAATTTCCACATTCACATGGGGTAAATTTCGCGAATCAACTTTTTGATGATGTTGCAGCATTGTGCACACAATAAGTAAAATCGTCCCAGTTTACGTGAATTCGTATACTCCGCAAACGCCGCTGCGGCAAATGTTTCTGGCTACTGACGTCACGCGGAGTAGTCTCGCGCACAGGTACGTTTACTTGCTTCGCCGTGACCTTTGATTTTCAAGTGCTTAGAACGGACGTAAATATCAATATTTTGCACCCAATTTTTTTATAATCGTTTTTTAATAACAAAATCTTTCGATTTTAGTACCGATACCAAAAATGTGGAACCTCCCTAGAGCGTATGGCTCAAAGTGATGGTTAAATGAGGTATTTCTACGAACAAAGTGAAATGGAAATACTGGTTTTAATTAACAACGATAAATCGGTAGTCATTAATATAATAATTCCAGTTTAAACTTCCCATTGATCTAATACTTGGTAAACCCAAAGTGTTGTGTTTCGATGTGACTTTATTGGGGAGACTTTGGCATTTACTTCAGCTGCCGCTTTGATAGCATACTCCATTTCCTGGTTGTGCGTTGCTTACAAATTGAACCACTCTGTCAACATATACTTAGTATTTTGTTTGATAAACCACATAAATAAATAAAAAGGTAAGAGTTCGTAAATGTAAAACATAGTTAATGATAAGTAATAACAACACCTCGAATGATAGCAATAAAGTGCATACAGAGAGATTTTACATTTAAAAATTTTAAGCAGAAATCCGAAGAATGGCAACCGGATACCGAACACTGTCAAAACAACTAAAACAAATTGCTCAAGATGAATTAAACGAGGTTGACGATCGGGTGGATGACGATGTCAAGTACATTCAAGAGTGGATGAAGAAGCAAGCTCACATGGACTTTACAATAGGCAAGTAAAAGTTGGGTAAGCTGTCTTACAAGTTTGCTTTTTGTAGAAGACCAGCAAGTGTTGTCATTTCTTCGCTGCGCCAAGTTCAGCTTGGAAAGAGCCAAAGAAAAAATTGATAGGTATTTCACCATGAAAGGTTTCTTACCCGATATGTATTGTAACAGGGATCCGTTTTTACCAGAAATGCAGCGTCTCCTCGACGCCGGGTATGTATTTATTTGTGTATTGTGACATTGATTACGGCCATTTCAGAATAATGATTCCATTACCAAAAGTGGACGAACGTGGGTCTAGGATAGTAGTGAGCACTTATGGAAAAAACCTTAATCCTGACACGATGAGCGCACAGGACATTGCCAAAATTAGTTATATGATCGGAGACATACTTCTTAAAGAAGACGACCACGCAATCATTGGCGGTTTGAATATTGTCATGATTTGTAAAGACGCACAACTCCAGTATCTGCCCGAATTAACTCCTTCATTCCTCAAACAGCAAGCCGAAGTTGTACTTAATGCTCCATTTAGAGTTGCCGGGTTATATTTTATAGATTGTCACCAAATTTTCGCCTTTGCTTTTGAGATGACTAGTTTTCTGCTTTCGAAAAAGATAAAGGATAGGGTATGTATTTATGTTATTTTTTTAACTTTAACTTTACCATTTTATCAGTCATTATTTAGTGATGGTGGCGTCAAATCAATTACGTTATCGGAGCACAATTTTTACTCGCTTTACAATAAAATCCTTTCAGGCGGCCATATTTAGTGAAGCCAATTCACATGAAATACATAGGATAATTCCAAAGGATTTGTTTCCAGAAGAACTAGGTGGCAGTAATGGGTCCCTAAAAGAGTTAACCGGTAAGACTTCCAGTTTTTTTTTGTTAATCCCTTACTTAACTGTTTCAGTCGAGTGGAAAAAGAAAGTGGAAAGTTACAGGGAATGGTTTCTTGAGGGTGAAAAGTTAAGAACCAATGAAAAACTGCGGCCTGGAAAACCTAAAACGTCTTCAGACATCTTGGGCACTGAGGGTTCCTTTAGACAATTGAATATTGATTAAATCTATCGTTGTCCATTTTTAACTTGATGTTTTAAATAATAAGCTAAGCGCGTTTTAAATGTAACCCTACTAATAATTATGTTGTCTCTTTCGTCGAAGCCAAATGAATTGCAAGATATTCTTGTTGGCGAATCTTTAGAAGCCTTTGTTACTGCCTAAAACTTCAATTTAAGTATTTCTAATTCGGGCCATGTTAAATACGCGGCGGTGGAAGGGCACGGTTATTTTAATACACCTTCATTGTAAAAAAAATATCGTTTGTGCCGCACAGTGGCAGAAGAATGAAAAAAAAACACGTGATGTGATAAAGGAAAGGATAACTCGCGAGTACTTTTGTCCAGAATTTAGATTTGGTTCTTGGCCGTTAAACGCGAAGCTAGCATGTTTTCATTGCTGGCCATCAAAACGGTCGCGTTTTGAGCCTACGACTCACCAACTTCAGTGGTGTGCATCATTTCGAAGCAAAAGCAACTCGTCGCGTATTTGTTTCTGGAAGAGGAGGAATAGGAGGAAATTATTTGTTATTTAAAAGGAAGAGAACGATCCACGCCTCAAGATCTGTTCAGAAAAAGTCTACCGAAATGGTTGAATGGTTTTCCCAATCACAAATCTCCCAATCTAATCATGCGGCATAGATAAACACCAACGGACAACAGATAGGGAAGTTCGCACTCTTCAATCCGAAACTCAAAGGTCGCTGGCAAACTTTGCTTTTGAACAAATTTGTAAAGCAGACGGCTATTCGAAAGTATATATTTTCGCGTCTAACGATAATCACAAAAATCAAAAAGACGTGTCTTGGTTGAGAGGCCCTGGGGCAATCACGTCCAATGCAAACAGCCTTACCTTGGTGGCGTGCAAGTTATCCGGGAAGCGTTGATAACCAAACGTGTCCCAGAGTGTGCTATCACTACAATCCTGCAATCCCTAATAATAAGTAGCATAGGTATACCTGTGAGCTTTGGTGGATATTCTGAACGCGTTCAATTCCCATCGAGCAACACTCTCATTGATATTACCTGGAAATGTAGAGGAAGATTGCTTATTCAAAAGGTGCATGAAGGGCATTGCACGAGCAAGACCTCCCAAACTCCCGTAGATTTCACTTGGGATTCAACACAGGCACTGGACTACCTTGAGAACAATCCCGGAAACTCCCTCACAAAAATTGGTTACCGTCCTGACTATAGCAACAGGTCAAACCAACCGGTATACATAGGCGACAATATCTACATAGTTAAACATTCTATAACATCTTTGGACTGGACGTCAGATATAATTAAATCGTCCAGTCCAAAGATCTTACAGACGACCCTTTCCTTTACTCCCATTGCAAATTTGAGAAACAACATTGAACGTTTTCTTTTGAACTAAATGAGCTGTTTAACCGAAAAGTCCTGACTGGCGACTGCAGTGAGACGCTGAGACCATTAAAATATTATCAATTTTGTGCTAATATCTTTGGACTGGACGATCGTAATAATTACGATCGAAATGCGTAGGTAAGTTCGTTTGATTGTTTAATTATAAATGCTTGGAATTTGTTAGTGAAGAGTAACGCAAATAAATCTTTCATATTTCACAACCTCATAAAAGCGATTATCGAGTATTCTGTAAGACAAACGGAGTGCCCACATTGAAATTGCGTAAATTACACAAAAAAAGCACTTGGGACAAAAAATAAATGAATGGGATACCTAATAGTGAGTACATTTGATAGTCAAATTTGCTGCAATGAGGAACTGTACAAACATGAGGGAGTAAAAGACATTCAAGAATTGATTAGAGGGAAGTGTGAGGAGAAATTTGTAATTAATATACGAGAAGCGTATAAGGTAACGTAACACGGTCTAAAAGGCTTAATACGCGTGGTACTAGCTTTATATCAAATTGCAATCAATTGATTTGCAAACTTGTGGAAAATCAGAATTTGGGTGTATCTATGCATAAAATTTATTTTTACATAATGCTACAATTATTGTACATGTAGTTTTACATATAGAATTAGCATTTGAAAAAATAATTACCTACGAAATATTTACAATGTAACAAAATATTATACTTTTAAATTTGAGCAATTTTGAAACGCACGGAAACGGCGCGATTTGCACTCTGACGTCATTAGGGTAAATTTGACGTTCAATCTACGCGTGTTTCCATGCTTTCGCTTTATTCGACCTTGCTGCTGTTCTCTTAAAGTAAGCGGAAACTTTAAAAAGGTAGTTGAAACACGTGTTACTTAAAATCATGGATTGTGGATTCATAATAGTATATTAAATTAAAGTATTGTATAAGTGAATCTTTGAAACGCGCGATATTTCCCATAAAACCGACGCCGACGTCGAGGGCGCAGCCGATGTGCTTGAAATAGAATAAGTGTTTTAAAGACCACTTATCCGCGCATACTATGCAAGTAATCAACAGATTAAATTACGCCCCCAGCGTTATTAGATAGCGCTTATCAAAGCAACTTTGTAATAAATGGAATTTGCAAATAAATACAATGCTCAAGAGTTAAATTTGTTGTAAATGGGGTAGGGAACTTTTTAGAAAATATTAACAAACCAACATAACGTTTTCGTCATTGCTCAATTGCGAAAAATTGGTGTTTTTATCGAGACGTCCGTTTGGTTTGGTTTACAGAAAATAATTGGTAAGAGCCACAACTATCACACGATAGCGAGCAGTGCCCGATCTAGAAGTTTTTAGGACGGGTGCAAATTTGGTATTTTGCCGCCCTTCTTCCCAAACTAACACACAGCTAACCACATGCAAATGATCAGGGAGCAATTTTTCATTTATTATTTCATACAAATAAAGAATAAAAAAGATTTGTCTTTTTTGGTTTTTTGCCGTTTGGTTAGTTACCTTCATTACGTACAGCGCTGTGATCTCAAAGTGTATAATTTTGGAGAGTACCTATCCCGTTCAAAGCTTAGCTATTTCCAGGTTTGGTTCTCGGGATTTTCCGGACAGCAAATTAAAATTACACGAACCATGCCGACTTTTGCCGCCCCTATTGAGTGCCGCCCGGGCCACTTGCCCCCTTTTGCCCCCCCCCCCCTTTTTGTCCGGCACTGATAGCGAGCGAACCGTGTGAGACGAATTATATTCTCCCGAAGGGAGAGGTGAAATGATCAGTAGCGGAACCGTTCTGAGTCGAGGAGTCGGTGTCTCAGAGAGTTGGGCGAGGACCCCCAGCGCTAAGTGTTGTATTTAACCTTCTTGTCGGGATTCGGGATTCGCAAATTTTTTTCTCTACAAAAATCCTAAATAGACTTTTTTCCTCGAGGGAGAGTACCTTTTTGAAGGGATAGCCTTCGAGCTTTCAAAACAACCGCTCAGTCGAAGCGAGTTTTTTGTCAAATTGGAAGGATTGGACTGAAACGGATTTGGCCAATGCTCAAAAGCTGGAACCAATAAAAAGTACCTAACAACTCCTTCCGCATCTACCTTAATTTACCCAGAAATCACACAAATAAAGAAGACAAGCAAAATTCACACACTCGATGCCATCCAGGAAATAATGATGGGTGGGTGGCAATTTGGGAACCACTTCAAAGGGTGGATGGAAAGGTGGGCAAGCGATGATGACAATTGCTTTATTATACCATTGAATAATAAATCATAAATCAGATTTATTATTCAATGATTATACTCTCTGGCATAACCAATATGCTTTGGTACGAAAATTGTATGCATGTGTAATGCATACGCCACTGTTTCATACATTATTGCTAATATTTTTAAAACGAGTTGATAATGGAAGTACGCAATCTTATCTGTAAGCTGTTGTTTCTACTCAGCCTTGAACCAAAATTGATTGATATTGTTTCTATAACTAGATACAGCACACATGGTTTGTAATCAGACAGGATACTTTAACCAAAGGCATTGAATTTATAGATAGTTATAAATTCAATGCCAAAGGTAACATGTATCGAGAAATCACAGATGAATTGAAACAATCGGCTGAGTGTAAGTTAAATGAAGTCTCGAGCCGCATTGAGGACGATATTGAGCACATACGACAATGGATGGCCAAGCAACCGCATTTAAGTTTTGAAATAGGTAATACCCATGATAATATTTGACTTTTATAAAATAGTAGCTTTTAGACAACCAGTTGATATTGTCGTTTCTCCGCTGCAGTAAATTCAGCTTACAACAGACGAAAGAAAAAATTGATGCTCACTACACTGCAAGAACCATCATGCCGGAAATGTTTAGTAATAGAGATCCCTTTCTTCCAGAAATCCAACACTTGCTGAACGCGGGGTAGTTTTGATTCGCGAGTACGATTTGCGAACATGAACTATTTTTTAGTGTAATGTTACCGTTGCCAAACTTGGATCCGGGCGATGGTTCCAGAATCATTTGTGCTACATATGGTCGAAATCTTGACCCTAATTTAGTAAACCTATACAATGTCTCCAAATTGGTTTATATGGTTTTGGATATTTTACTCATGGAAGACGACAATATGATAATAAACGGCATAAAAATTTTAGTACAAGCCAAAGGTTTTCCTCTTGGGTTTCTTCCTAACGTAACACCGGTGTATATGAAAAAGCATTGGTACGGTATAGAAAAAGGATTTCCGTTTCGAATTCAGGAACTTTGTGTAGCCCACTTACCTGCCCCATTTGTGTTTGCTTACAACGTACTGAAAAAGTTCGCATCCGGTAAAATGAGCCAACGAGTATGTAAACACTGTGAGAGACAATAAGTACGATCATTTTATTCTAGATGGTATTGGTTAGTGAATCGAAGATTCCAGAATTATGTCAGAAGTCGCCACATTATTTTCCAAAAGAAATGGGTGGTAACAATGGTTCCGTACAAGAATTAATAGGTAGGTAATCATTCCAGCATTATTCATTTTAAGTTACTGTCATTTTAGTTACTTGGAAGAAAAAAGTAGAGAGCTACAAAGAATGGTATTTGCAAGAGGAAACTAAGAAAAGCTACGAGAATTTACGTATAGGGAAACCAAAAACCTCGTCTGGAGAGCTTGGAGTGGAAGGCTCGTTTAGACAATTAGATATTGATTAGAAGACATTTTAATGAATTGCACATAACGAGAATTTTAAACATTTTTGATCTTTCTTATATAGGTACCTACGTTCAAAAAAGAACTGTCACCGTACAAAGCTAGGTACAAAGTGTGCCATAAAGAGAGCACAAGAGGGTGACACATTCATAGCAGGCGGTTGGTTGTGACGAAGCAATTTGTCTCGTAGTAACATAGTATTAATTTTTTGCATGTTCATAATTCATCACCGCCCGGTGTGGAGCGACATTTGGGCTTTATCTTAACCTACTTGTACCATAGTGTAAGAATGAGAATACACTATGCTTGTACCATATTATACTCCTTTCACGACACCAAGTGACAGAATTACTCATCGTCTGCGCAGACATATTGTCATCTAAATGTAAAAATAGTCATGGTTGGCGATTTTGAACGGACATGGCAGATGCATTTACTGCAAAATACAAACAGAGCCCCATATGAAGCAATAGGAGAATCAGTCCATAAATAAACCATCGATGTGGACAACTCCATGACTTTTATCGCTTACTTTGAAAGTGTTGCCAACAATGCTACTCCACAGAGCTCTACCCCTGGGATTGTGGTGGGCTTCAAAAGTGCTACATTGGTCTTTGCGCACAAAAGATGAGAAAAAACTGGATTTCCGTCAAAGGATCTGTGGTAAACGCAAGCCCCGTAAGCAAACTGTGATGAATCACAAAATCCGTGTAACTAACTGGATGTCTATAGCGTTGGGACAAATAACGTGCCGTGGCAATTTCCATTCATTTAAATGCGGTAAATCCTTACGATACGCCAGCCATTTGAAACTATTTCAGTGGGAATTGCATCATTCCATCCTAACCTTTCCAATCACAGTGTTTTTGAAGAAGAATTTTTGACCCCGCTGGACCTAGCCCCCCCCCCCCCACCATTGTGAATCAATTTAAAAATTGTATCCAATTTATGAGCTATTTAGATTTTCCTTTAGTAAGGTTTCCTGTTAATATAATTGAGCAACTGCCGTCAGGATTGCGTATGCCTCGGCTTGTAGCACGGTTGCTTTTTGTTCTAGATTCTGAAGCCCTGTCAATTGCTTCCGTACACTCCAAGCCGGTGCCCTCCGTAGTTTTTGAGCCATTTGTGTAATACACGATTCCATTCAGGTTTGCCTTTCTGGAATCCCATCCGTATCGAGCGGGGATTATCATCTTAAACAGTTTTTTATTATCGCAAACTGTTTTGGTTATCCTCTCAGTTATCCTACCGAGGATTTTATTATTAGAGATTTCATTAAAGAATAAGCGTATGCCTCACCCTTGACGATTCCTCCTCTCCATTGACTCTCAGACAGTATGCCCGTCTGAATGCCTCTGCCATAATTAACAGGTGTAGTGGCGGTCAGTTCATTTAGTGTCCATAGCTACTGTCAGGAACGTTATCATTGTCCTCGTAATTCTAAGGCAAGCTTTGCGCTGCAGCTTGATCAGTATCTGTATGTTCTTCTGGGCGAAGGTCTGATTCTACCACACCAGTGACGCATACGTATAACTGGTATAATTATTTTAGTGTATATCCAGGGACCTTGTGGAGTTGTTCGCTATTTTTTCCATTTGCGATTTGAAGTTAGGCGATTGGCCGAACGTGATGCCCAAGTATTTACCTTCTTTCACCACCTGTAGCTTAGTGCCCTACATTGCAACGTCCTTTAGCTTTGTCGGCCCTTTTGTACGTGAGAAAAGCTAATGAGGTTTGTTTCTGTTGAATTAACAGACAAGCCCACCTCTTCGCACTATGTTTCCACTAGATTTAAAGCTCCTTGCCTCACAAACTAATACGGTCTCCTCAAATCCCCTACGTACTACAATCACTATGTCATCGGTAAAGACAACATTGTGGTGTAGCCCGCATCATTTTTAATCTCCAGCATTTTGGCTTTTGATCCTTTTCGGGATCTTCTCAGGTTCCACTTGAGGATCCAGGCGTGTGCCCTTACGGTCTTCGTTTCGAAGAATCAAAATCTCGCCCCCCCCCCCCCCCCGGAGCTGCTCTCGCTAGCTCTGACCTCAAGCAGTCTACCGATACTGGTCTGCGCATGTGATCAGCAGCGCTCTCCATCGTGCCGACATTCCATAAATTGGGGAAAAGCGTCAACTCTGTCAAGGATCCAGGCTTTGATTCGCCATCTGTCCTCTTACCGAGAGCCTCCTGGTTCCTGTCTCATCTTTATTAGCTTCCGGTGCGCCGCTCCGGAGAGTTTTTTAGGCTCTTTAATACCGGTGCTCTCGGAGTAGTTTGTTGTGTTTTCTGTTTTTACTTGGGCCATAAGAGTGCCACGAGTATGGTGGAAAGAAATGTCCACACGCGTCGATCCCCCTGCACACGTGTAAGGCGACTTAATACAACGGTGTAGCGCCCGGTGCCCCGAAGTTGAAGCCAGTAGTTGCTGATCATCTATTCAGCCACGCATCTACTTCGGCCCTCTGGCTCTTGGAATTTAGGTTTTTACGATACAAAAAGAAACGCTTCTGGATTCCGCAATGGATCAAAAGAAGAGATAGATTGGTCTGATTAACTACTAACACTGACGAAAAAACATTCAAGACTACCCCAAGTTTTTACTTTTTACACAAACAAATGCACTCAAAACCCACAGTCGTATGCAAACACCGAAAGTACGTGCTGATGCAACTAACCGGTAGCTACTGTGAAATGGGCCTGGCCGCCCTCAACGATTCACTATTTGACCTATTGAGGGTGGAGCTCCAAAATTAGACTTACTTATTAAAAACTTTTCAAGAGCTCGTAATTCATGGACAAAGATTAATTTGTAATAAATAAAGAAAAACAGATTAGGGGCTACGCCAGAATAGACCTGGCCGCTCCCAGGATGACATCTATTTGCTCTTTTTAAGAGTGACGCTCTTAAATTGCAATTACTTGAATGAAAGCTCTTAAATAGCTCGTAATTCATGCATAAAACATAATTTAAAATAAGTAAACGATAATAGAGGAGGGGCTACGTCCAAGTGGAGCTGGCCTCCCCATCGATTATATCTATTTGCTCTTTTAAGAGTGGCGCCCAAAAATCGAAATTACTTGTAAACGAAAGCTCTTAAATAGCTCGTAATTCTAGTACAAAATTTAATTTGAAAAAAGTAATTCTGATCAGTGTGGGGGCTGAGTCCAAGTAGACTCGGCCACCCCATAAGAAATATTAGATTCCTTGTGATTAAAGCGAGCTCTAAAATTTTAAGCTTGCGATATGAAAAGCTCCTAAATAAAAGGAAGTCCTTTCTCTGTCCATAACGTATGTTTTTTCATTAATGTATGTGCGTCAACTCTAGCATTTGAATTTTTGCATTGTATGATGACCCTTAAACCACCAATTACCTACAGCATAATCGTCCTCTAGTAACATAATCGGCCCTATGCTGTATCACTATCGTTAAGAATAACGATATCGTTATGCGGCGTTACCATAATTTTTTAAAAATCGGTATGCTATATCACTCATAGCAAGAGTGGGATAACGACTATCGTAATTCTCTATCATTATTTTGCAAACATAACCAGAGAAACTTAACGGCAGGGTTCATGCTATCCGTTTGGCGCGTAACGGTCCTGTCATCGATTCGTTCGGGGTTTAAGCGGATTTTAATGAGAAAGAAAATGAATAATTTTCAAGGATTTTTGCAAGTAGCTTTGTTCGGGCAAATGGAAAATGTAATAGGGAGGCGAGTTCAGTGCCTTTTAATACTCGTAGATTATGTTTTTATTAAGACATGAGGAAAACATCCAACGAAGAATTTTACGAGACAACAGTGATCCGTTTCAGCTGGGTGAAATTGATTTTCAAAAAAATTTTCGTTTATCAAGAGAATCTGAATGTACAAATGGTAAGGACTAACAGCAGCACGTTTCAATGAAAATGTGTTTAACATGCAGATTTGTTATGCGAACATAAAAATCCTGAATTGTAATGCACGGTTTCCGGGATCTACTCACGACTCTGCAATATATGGGGTATGAATGCAGTGAAAAGACACCTGGAAGAAAAGTATTTAAACAATGAGTTACATTCATCTTGGTTAATTGGTTAGTGTGGCTGTTGTGACCTAATAATTTTACCCTTTTACAAATTTGTATACGTGATTCAGGATATGCACTGCAGCCATGGTTGTTAACGCCAATGGAAAATGTAGTCCACACTTTCACCACAGAGAAGATACAACACAACACATTTTAGCCAAAAATGTAATAATAGAACGCTGTTTTGGAATTTTGAAGCAAAGGTTTAGATGCCACTTGAAGCACAGAGTTCTTCATTGCTCCCCTGACAGATATGCGAAAATTGTGTTGTGCTGTGCTATACTCCATAATATAGCGATACAGCAGAACTTCCCACCACCCGAGGATAATGAAGGTGATGTAGACTCCACAGAATATGAGAGGAAATGAAGGTATTTGTACCTAATCATCTAAAAAAAACAAATTGTTGTATGGCCTCTTATTATTCTTTTCGACATTCGCCACGTCGTGAAAAAACAACTAGGTAGGTACACTTGCAATTAATAACAATTTTAAAGAAACGTCTGCATTTCCAAATCTGGCGGGTATTTGTTTTAAGATAAAGCGCGCACCGCAATGCCCTCTTATATTTTATCGCTGTGGTATTTCACTCTTACACGCACTACCGTTGCGCAGCGTTCCTTGTCTTCTAGAATGCGACACTTTTTTCCGAAATAGCCACTGCGAGATACCGGACAACGTAACGATACCGTTAAAATATTGATACAGCATATCGCGTTTATCATATTATCGATAGTCGTTGTGGTCATCATAACCGTTGATCGTTAAACTGCGATAACGATTGATCGTATAGAATAACGAGAGTGATACAGCATAGGGTTGAATGTCTGTAACCATATAAAATAATTATAATTAGCCTCCAAAACCACGCATGCGCAATAGGCAACTTCCTTATTTGGGAAACAATTTGATCAACATTTTTGTTGTAGGTTTCTTTAATAAAAGCAAACAATGGATGTGCCAAAAAATTTTATCGCCCCACTCATCTGAAGGGGCTCAGGATCTACGAGTATTACAGTGTCACATCCTTAAGTTCATTTTGAGCCAGACAACTTCTTACCGCCGGCACGGTTAGTAAGGGAGGAAATACACGTTTTAAAGCATCAAGAATCCAAAGCAAACAAAATCTCGATAATGTCGGTCTGTACTCTTACTTCCGGCTGAACCGATTGGAACCAACTCGGGAACCAATGAATATTCTTAGACATAAAAGGGAGAGCTGAAAAGCTTTTGCGCAAAATCACGCATGTACGTATGAGGGTGGCATCTTTGTTAGCCACAGCAATTTTTCTCTTTTCAGCTCTTCCTTTTATATCTAAGAGTATGTGTACGAAATTTGGTTCCAATCGGTTCAGCCGTTCAGCCAGAATTTACTTAAATGAGAGCACGCTCATCCGATAAACTTCCAAACGAAGAAGTAAATTCACGGTTAAAAATAAATCCGCCACCCATTAGTTTTCACTACACGATTGTTCTCTTATTCCTAGTAGCAGTCATATTTATCTTAATCGATATTCAGTTGCCTAAACGATCCTTCAATATCAAAATCGTGCAGGTATGTTTTAGATGGTCCTTGACGTAAGTCTTCGTTAGACTTTAGTTTTTCGTTTTGCAAAAACCAATCTCGGTAACTTTGCACATTTTCTTTCCAAGTTACTAAAACTGTTACAGTTAAATAATGTTCGTTAAACGCTTAGAATATCTCACCAGTTAATTCTCCAAGAGATCCATTATCACCGCCCCATTCTTTCGGCAATGCGCTTTGCGGTGTCAACTTGTAAAGTTGCTGCAGCTTGGTGTCGTCAAATACCTCCAACTAAAAAAACAGCATACTGAAAAGGGTGAATTTATGCGACAATTAAACTAACAACGAAGAAAACTGAAAGTTTAAACCAGGTAGCCATTAACTATGGTTCTTTTGTATTTTTTTAGTTTTTAGTTCTTAATCTTTAGTTGGTGTACATTCAAAATATATGAACACGTAGATAGTACCTACTTGAGTCCACTTACCCTACGGCTCATTTTTGACGGTAGCATCTTCTTTAGCAAGTCAAATACATATTGAAATATTGCATGTAAGTTCATGAAATACGCAGCGCGCAATCTAAAAGGAAGTCCTTTTTCTATCAATAACGCATGCTTTTTCATAAACGTTGGTGTCAACTCTAGCATATATTTGGGATTTGGATTTTTACATTGCATGATGACCTTTAAACCACCAATTACAGCATAATCGTCCTCTAGTAACAGTATGTCTGTAACCATATAAAACAGTTTCAGAATATTTCGGAAAGGCATAGTGTCGTAGTCAACATTTTCACCAAGGTTCAAGAAAATTATTCTGCAATTGCTGCCACTCTCAACCTTAGGTAACGGTAGAACTGCTCTAAAAAGTGAAGCACGATACTTTACAGTTTCGTACAATCCATTTTACCCAACATGCAATAATCTTTGTATTTCCGGTGATAAAGGGTCTCTATTTTCGTATAGTTCAGGAGAAAGTGTCCTCATGGTATAATAGTTGTCAATTTTGTCCTTCACGCGTTCCAAGCTGAATTTGCTGCACCGAAGGAATGCCAAAATTAATTGGTCATCTAAAATCACTCATGAGTACGTTTTTCAAAGCAACACTATTTCTTTACCAATAACGAAATTTAGATGTCTTTGCTTTTCCATCCATTGCCGAATATGTAAAATATCAGTTTCGGTCCTTTCTTCAACTTCATTTAAATCTTGTCGACATATTTCTTTTAATGTTGGAGATATTTCTCGATGCATTTTTTTAAAGCAAATTGTTGCATACACCGTGTTAAAGTGTGATTATTCTTATCATCTTATATAGAAGTCCACAATTTCATTTCACATAATTGTTATGAAATTATTCATAACCACTTTAATAACACTTGTGACGGAGAACTGGTAAGGGCAACAGTCGATGATCTTTATGACCTTAATGTGCGAAACCCAGACAACTACTATTAATGGGAAACCGTGATATATAGGCAAAGACTATCCTATAGCCTTTGATATATGTTAGAAAAGAAAAAAGCTTCTAATAAATACTTTAGCATAAATACTATATTTATAGTTTCTAAGTCATTTCATAATAGGTACCTACGTAGATGTGAAGTATGAAAAACGAGGGGTGATCACTCATGAGTACGTATCTACAAGGTAACGTTATTTCTTTACCAATATCGAAATTTAGATGTCTTTGCTTTTCCATCCATTGCTGAATATGCAAAATATCAATTTCGGTCCTTTCTTCAACTTCATTCAAATCTTTTTGACATATTTCTTTTAACTTTGGCGATATCTCTCGATTCATTTTTAAAGAAAATTGTTGCATACGCCGTATGATTACTTTTATCCTCTTGTGTATTTAGTAGACCTAAAATATCACATCATTGTTGAGGAATTATTCATAACCACTTTATGTAACTTTTATAAGTAGTTTCGCATATTATATAATATTTTCGATTCCTATTTTTGTGGGTGAGAACTAATTAGGGAAACAGTCGTTAATGGTGTTGTTGGCATATTCACTGCGCAAAACCCAGTCATGCCCACTAATTATGGAGAAAGATTCTAATAAATGGTGTAGCGTAAATACTATATTCATAACTTTTTTTGTAATTTCACAATAGATACGTAATTATGAAAAAATGATATTGATTTATGGAGGTTAAAAAAATAGAGTTCATTACAAAAAATGTAGGTTCCATCTCTGAAGCTGAAAAATGTAAAGTAATTTATTGCAATTTTCGTTAGTAATTCGCTAATGCTTTGGTTCATGAGACACTTTGACAGCAAATAATCTTCTTATAACTGGGGGGTTTCTCCGTTAGAGATACTTCAATTTTTATTAATTACTTTGGTAGTTATATAATGTAGCTTGAAAAATAGTGTGACATGTACGAGCAGAAATCCTGATACAGAGTCAGCAAAACATTCATGGAAGAGAATTAAATCTGGACACTATCATTACTGAAAGCTGAAAGTTCAAACATGGAAGGAGGCGAGCTAAGGAGATGCTCGATATAGTTCATACCGATGTATGGGGACCAAGTCAGATTGAAGAGTACAATGGTCACCGTTATTTAGTTACATTTATCGATGATTATAGTCGTTATGCAGTCGTCTTCATTATAATGGAGGAAGATCAGGTCTTGGATCATTTCAAGGAATATGTCAATTCCATGGAAAATCGGACTGGGGAACGTGTAAAGATAGATAATGGACGTGAATATAAAATGGATTGCATTCGAGAAAATTACACATGGGATATAGCTGAATACCCTGTAAACAAGAATCGTGTCTTGAGTATCACAGCAAAGCTTCATGGATAACATCATTCTTTTCGCATGTCGTATTTTGATTCCTGTGGCCCTTTTACCCCCCGCCGCCGTTCTGAAGACGCTTCACAGCTCTCATCATGGGAAAGAGCGAACCCTCCGCAATGCAAAGCAAACAGTATTTTGGTCAGGAATATCTAATGACGTGAAGTAGTTGTAGGGAATGCGCAGAATTTCTCACATCCCCACAGATGGAACCACTCAAGCCCGGTCCACCATCCACTTCTCCATTTCATAACGTCGCAGTCCACTTATTTTCCTATGCTGGTAGATAGTACCTTTCCCTGGTTGATCGTTATTCCAGATGGCTCCTTATTGCTAAGTGCGGCATCAGAGCTAACAGCAGTAGGTACCATCGACACCACCTACGACAGTGGATATCCGCATTCGAAATACCCCCAGTAACTGACGAACGACAACGGAACACAATTCATCTTGCTCGAGTTTCGTAATTTAATTGGACGAGAAAGTTTGACATTGCTCACACAACCTCTTCTCCCCACGATCTCAAGTGTAAAAAGCCTGGAGTATTGTAACGGACGGTTACAAATTATCGATGATTCAACGTGTATATTCTTCTTATTCTTCGTTTTTGGGTTACGATGTCGGTGCGAAGTATTTCCGAACTTACCTTAATTATACTTTTACTTCCAGCTAGCTCAGGTAATTTACCTTCGCAGGTACTTGGTTAATTTCAACAGATAATAATTAAAACTTGGGCAAGATATTACTACCGAAATTGCTTCTCTAATATGCCTCGAGGAATTACGCAATTTTCATAATTTGGTGTGCGTTTGAATTTCAGAACCTTTTTGTTCCTGTGAGTAAAGAGTGGTGATTGTAGTAATTACGATTGCAAAAGATTACATTAATTAGAATACATTTATTTTAATTAAACACACAAATAAAGCAAATAATTACTGTTACGATGAGCCTAAAAAAAACCTAAACCTAAACTATCTAAGGAATTCCAATTTTTTGAAAATACTTTAGCACTCCAGTTCGCGGATTAAATTCGAGCTTCGTAAATAAATTGTTATTAATTCTCACGCAAAATGAACGCGAGTTTTAAAATGCGTACGCCGTTGGATTTAATTAGTATTATGGGAATATGGTCTTTTACCTTATGAATGCAGTCTCTTGATTCAGCGCAAGTTTGTTGAACTCGATTCGATCGATGTCCAACCTTGGAAATTGTTTTCTGAGTTTCGCAAATTATTGACGTCGTAGATGGCCACCTCCTGGTTGTTTGGAATTATGTCACCCTCCTCTGCAGTCAGTCTCCTCGGATAATTGGAGTAACTTTACATTTAAAACGTCACTGCTCCTTGGTTAAATTTTGAAACCAACGCTAGCGATTAAACAATTGCGTTAACTATTTAAAACAACCTAAATAGTCAACGAAATTCATTATTAATTACCACGATTAAGATCAGGACCAGTTACGTACTTGCAAATGCGTTATTTATTTATTATTCCTCCTTTGTTTTTTTATTGTACTTAGGAGTATAAGATGATGCGCTACCTATTTGTTAAAAGGCGATGTTTAAGTAATTTAAATATCAGGAAACATGCTGCTTAAAATAATGAGAATCTCTTTGATAGATTTCGAAATTTATTTCAAGCAGCGCCTACACAGTAAATTTGTTTTCCAATTTCCATCATCGATACTGTAAGTGAAACCATAAAAGAACTGAAAATATCTCCCTTGAACCATAAGTAAAATTGACAATATGCCAGATTTCTTTGGAACGTCAGAGACCCTATTCTGGTGGGAATTTATTGGTTGACGCAATGAAAAAAATTCAATCAGAAAACAAGATTTTGTTATTGAGTTGTCGGCGTCTGGATCTCCGTAACAAAAAAATTTAATAAAATCTTTAGGTCCACAAAAATAGTGCCAAAAGAGTTGTAAAAATGTTTTCGAATTTTAACTGGACAGGGAGTACAGTCAGTTACCATTTAAAATATTCGAGGGAAGGTTATGGGTCTATTAACATGAACATGAAAATGACGGATTTACAAGAACAAGTCGTAGATTTCGTCGAAACTAACACCTGGCCCTAATGTTAACCCCATTCATTACAATATTTGGAGTACATTAGACGCCATGGTTCTCAAAAACACTATCGATAAATTAAAACATCGTATATTTTTTTGTTGGAACCAATTCGAGCAATAAATTATTAACCGATTAATTGTAGATTGGCAATAATTCCCATCTTAATCAATATTTAGTTGCCTAAACGATCCTTCAATTCCAAAATCGTGCAGATATGTTTTAGGTGGTCCTTGACGTAAGTCTTCGTTAGACTTTAGCTTTTCGTTTTGCAAAAACCAATCTCTGTAACTTTGCACTTTCTCTTTCCATGTTACTAAAATTGTTACAGTTGAATAATGTTCGTTAAACGCTTAGAATATCTCACCAGTTAATTCTCCAAGAGATCCATTATCACCGCCCCATTCTTTCGGCAATGCGCTTTGGGGTGTCAACTTGTAAAGTTGCTGTAGCTTGGTGTCGTCAAATACCTCCATCTAAAGAAACAACATTGCGATTTTTTGCAGTCAGCATATACAAAAGGGTGGGTTTATGCGACAACCAACAACTAAAAACCATTAACTATGGTTCTGTTGTATTTTTTTAGTTTTTAGTTCTTAATCCTTAGTTGGTATACAATCAAAATAAATGAACATGTAGGTACTTCATTCAACTTACCCGACTGCTTATTTTTGACGAAAGTATCTTCTTGAGCAATTCAAATAAATATTGAAATAATGCGGGTAAGTTCATAAAATACACAGCGCGCAATCTAAAAGGAAGTCCTTTCTCTATCAATAACGCCTGTTTTTTTATAAACGTTGGTGTTAACTCTAGCATATATTTGGGATTTGAATTTTTGCATTGCATGATGACCTTTAAACCACCAATTACAGCATAATCGTCCTCTAGTAACAATATGTCTATAACCATATAAAACAGTTTCATGATATTTCCGAAGGACATAGTGTCATAGTCAACATTTTCACCAAGGTGCAAGAAAATGATTCTAGTATTACTGTCACTCTCAACTTTAGGTAACGGTAGAACTGCCCTAAAAAATGAAGCATGATACTTTACAGTTTCGTATAATCCACTTACCCAACATGCAACAGTCTTTGTATTTCCGGTAATAACGGATCTCTATTTTCGTATAGTTCAGGAGAAAGAGTCCTCATGGTATAATAGTTGTCAATTTTGTCCTTCGCGCGTTCCAAGCTGAATTTGCTGCACCGAAGGAATGCCAAAATGAATTGGTTGTCTAAAATCACTCATGATGAGTTCGTTACATAAAGCAACACTATTTTTTTTTACCAATATCGAAATTTAGATGTGTTTGCTTTTCCAGCCAATGCCGAATATGTAAAATATCAGTTTCGGTCCTTTCTTCAACTTCATTTAAATCGTTTCGACATATTTCTTTTAATTTTGGTGATATTTCTCGATGCATTTTTTTAAAGCAAATTGTTGCATACGCCGTTTTACAGTGTGAATATTTTTATCATCCTGTACAGAAGTTCACAATATCATTTCACATAATTGTTGTGAAATTATACATAACCACTTTAATAACTTGTGATGGGGAACTGGATAAGGCAACAGTCATTAATCTTGATGACCTTAATGTGCGACTCAGACAACTACTACTGATGAGAAACCCGTTATATATAGGCCAAGACTATCCTCTAGTCTTTGATATGTATAGGTATGTTAGAAAAGAAGAAAGATACTAATAAATACTTTAACATAAATACTATACTCGATACTATATTTATAGTTTCTAAATAATTTCACAATAGGTACGTAGATATGAAGTATGAAAAACAAGTGGTGATTTGAATATGAAGGTCAATGCAGATATAATTCAGTGTAAAAAATGTATAATTTACTTCCCGTTCGATCTGTGGACTGTGGAGTTGAAAAATCTAAAGTAATTTATTGTAATTTTCGTTAGTGATTCGCTAGTGTTTTTGGAACTCGAAACGGTTTGACATCATAACCTATAACTGCAATGTTTCTTTGTTAGAGTATTATTTTGGAAGTTATCCAGGGGTTTAGAAACGAATATGACTGTACAAGCAGGAATCTTGAACCAGAGTGAGCAGAACACTCTGGGAGTACAATTACAGCTGGATCACTATCCATGCTCCCCTTCGTTTGGAGTTTCTGAAAATCTCTGTTTACCGTTTGTTTTGTTTAGTTTTCCTCGGGGCACCAGAAACGAAAACCCACAGGTCCGTGGAAATTGTGAGCCCAAAGTGCTTACAAAAGGGAAGATAACTGAAATACTGTTTCCTTTTTGCCATTTTTTGTACTAAGGAGGCTATCGGTCTTTGAAAATCTTCCAGATATTAATGCTATGCACTTAAAATGTTCCACTCTAAGAGCGTAAATTTAGGTGGGTATGGAACCATTTACTTCAACGAGGCCTTCGTATAATCAAGATCGAACATCACTTAAGGTTAGTTTGCTTGATTTTGTAATTGTATTCAGCTTCGTTTCCTAAATAAAATTGTGTATATTCAAAGATTATGCAACAACAATTTTATTATTTCACATTCCGAGGCATGTTCGAAGGAAATCAGTAGGTATCTGATTTCAAACCTAAAATGCCGAAACCATGTAGAAACAATGTAACAACTGTATACCGAACATATTTTTAAAACCAGCAGAAGCATTAGATTTTGATGACCATTCAGCAGCAAGTTTGATGGTATGGTAGCTTACACCGAACCTGGCCTGCCCAGTGCCTTGCAGTTTGAATTAGCCTGTATCCAAATGACAATTCTTTAAGCTGTCCATTTACCTAAGGCTTGAATGGAAGCGGAGAATAGGGCCTCTTATGGGTGAAAAGGAGAGACATGCATTGACCTCCAGCCTCGCCTCCGGCCTCCTTGTTCCTATTCAGATATTCCAACCCCTGCCACACATAGACACATAGGTTGGGATACCTGAAACCTTTATTCTGTTAAGGATTCTAACTTCGACCTTGCTATTTAAGAATAATAATGTTATCCATAATTAAGGCCAGAGTTTGGTTGCTTGATCCTGTAGCGGGACCTAACAGAAGTACCAGTTAAATGGCAAAGACATAAGAGTTCGATTATTGAGAGCCGTTGCATAAACTAAGACTATAATCTGGGCCCCACCTATTCTCACACCTGGGCCTGGTTGGTGTCAAACTAAAAACACCTTTAACAAATCTTTTTACTCGAAACCTTAACCCCTGGTCTTCCTTCCATATTGAAAAAACGGATTAACTAACCGAGTACTGCAAAATTACCACCAGACCCTTTTAATCCACTATTGCATTGCTTCGTCCGGGTTTGTGAACTGTAGAGCTTCCCGGAAAAACTTCCCTACTACCAGAAAGAGGGGTTTTGCCATCGGATGTGGTTTTCCGCAAAAATAAAGTAACCAGTGGAGTTCTTAAACAAAAATATTAGTTTCTTGTTTGACTTACATGCACCAATTCAACATCAAAAGTTATCAAGCAAACTACGCAAACCATGGATAACTGATAATTTAAAATTCATGATGAAGCTTAGGGATAAAGCGCTAACTAAGTACAAAAAATCAAAGTGCCCTACGCGACTTAGGATTATTATAAATCCCTACGTTCCCACAACATCGCAAAGTATTACAATAAAAAAGTAGGTACCCACCATCCCGTTTCGAAGTTTGTCCATTTCGAGTTTGAAATATAAGTTGCTTCGCTTAAGTCAATAAACATACCATGGTCAATCACATTTGTCATGAATTGCTTTATCTTTCATTTTGTTTTCCTTATAGTAAACTAAAAAAACACTTAATTCTAATTTTTACTAAATATTTAATAATAATACGCATCGATATTGGGTCTGGTGGAAGACCAGTGAACCTACACGGTAAATTGAAACAGATCCGTTTTCCGGTTTCCATAAATACGTTATGAAATTTATTTATATATGCCCTATGGAAATAAAAGTATTATTATTAAGGTTCGAAAATTAAAGGTTCTTCGGTAGGAATAAAACACACAATATCACGGCTGAAATACCCAGTAAAGGGCTACAAGTACTCCTTCTGCATGATCTCTATTAATTTTTTTAAGAGTACTCCGCATTCAGATAAATGGAGGGAAAGCATTAAAGGAGAAAACATTCCAAATTAGTGTAAACTCATATACCCTGAAAACTTCCGGATCTCTAATTCTAGGCAAGAAGTTTTTGAATTTTCCATGCATCCGACTAGCAAACAGATCGATATCTGGGACACCAAATCTCTGCAACACTTTATGAAAGGCAAAACCATTTCCATCTCTTGCGGTTCTTATCATGATGCTTTAACCAAAGGAAAACTTCTTTAACGATATGTAAGAAGCAAAATAACATTGTAAATGTTTTTTTCTTCACACCAACCAGGGTGCACAGCTTAACCCGAACTCCATTTGCATAACCTGCCATTGAAACAAAAAGGTAAAGCTTTTCTATGGCATGGGTTACTGGTCTTTAGATCCACAGTGAAGATAAAGGTATATACCCTAAACAACTTCTTAATTTCTGTGACCAGTTTGGATGTACAGGTGCACCAAGTGGTATTGGTTTAGTATGACAGGGAATACCCCTTAATATATGACACTATCCATTTGTTAAAAATTAACCCAGTCCATCTAAATGCAAAGTCCCTTATTCTTGTTTAGGTTAAAAATTTCTGTAACGGTCGTGTCTTTTCGGTTAATTGCTGGTGCTCTCGTTTAGGTGAAGGGAGTATACGGCAGCCTTGTCCCAATTGTTGCGCTCTTTTCTTCTGCAACAATGGACGTTTCCCTGTTTGAAAGATAAAGGGTGTCCAGAGAGGGTACGCTACTTGGGTCACCTTTAATTGAACTAAAGACTTTCCCAAAGCTTTTACGATCTTTATACTATACTCGATTGTTGGAGTGTTACAAGGGTATCCTTTATTCTTGTTTCAATTCAGTCCTCTGCGCGATGCGAACTCGGAAATTAAAGTACTCGGCCCCCAAAGGATCCTCGTACTTCAATATTTCCTCGCCAGTAATGTGTCATTTTCATGACTTTTATTTTAATAACTATTGTTTTGTGTTGCTATGAATTGGGATTTTTCTATTAATAATATGGTGCAACTTAATACAATTCGTATTTTTTTCGTTTAAACCAATGGTATGAAGGGTATCCCACATTGAGTGCATAGCGAACTTTCGAATAACCTAGTGGACATAATAGTTATTTATCTTATTAGTGAGATACAGGCGTCATTACACTGCGACTGTCATCTGTAATCACACGATTTGCTGTAATATGCTCCAGCCCACAAATGAGGTACAACGCTTTTTTCTAAAAACTGCCCAAAACGGAAAACAATCTGATTTAAAAATACAATTTATTCAAAATTCACAATCAAGCAGCAAGCAAATTTTTGCTGTTTATGGCAATCGCCTACATTTGTCATAAACAAAGTTTCTGCAAGAATAGTTATTTATGTATTAAGGGCATAATCAAAAGATGATGGCACGAGAGAATGTTTAAAGCCCGACGAAGGAGGGCTTTTAATTTCTCGAGAGCCATAATCGATTATGCCCGTGGTACATACAACGTTTTATTCTATTTTAGCACAATTTCTAAAAAGTTAAAAGGAATTAGTTCTTGCAGGAATTTATCGCTAACCAAATATGAGTGGTGTAGATAAGTTGGTGTTTTTTGTGTTGCTATGGATACTGAGACTGTTTACTTTTTATCAAACAATTCGCTGTTGGAAATGAGTGTAGCTGAAATGGAAAACGTTTATTCTGACGAAATATTACGTGAATTCGAAATCGCACAAAGTAAAGTGGTTCGTCATAAATCCAAAGATCTATATGAAAAAGAATACAGCAAGTTTTGCGAGTGACAGTATCGTTGCTATGCAATTTTTGACAGTTCGGTGCCATAAAGTCCAATTAATACCCTCATTTGGGTGCTTATAAAAAGGATTATAATCTAAAATAGAAAAAAAAAACAATGAAACAAGCTTAGGATCCAAAACTTAACATAAAAATCCTTATTTCGGTAGGCTAAATTCAAAAACATTATCTAAATTAAATTTAATATTGCGTTAGTGACGCATTGTAATCTTTCACCGAATGGGTGTTATATTGCATGTTTACATGTAGGTTCTTAATTCCATTTCAACGACATAAGGCATTGAACCAAGAAAAAAAATTAATATTTGTCGATTTTTGTCAAGTAGTCCTGATTAATTTAATTGTCATCATTGTAAGGAATCACCTTGTCCGAATTTCGTGGTTAAACATCAATTTAAAAAAGACCATTTTTTACCGTGTAAACCCTCCAATTAATGAGAGTACACTAATGGCAATTTTGAAATTTATTTTGACACTTTTCGAGTTTGTTCTTTCCAAATAAGGGACTAGATATTATAATTTTACTTTTTTACCTTTTAATGGGCCTCTACTCTTCAAATGTTATAGCCATAATTTAAACAAAACTCTTTTCTAAGATAACCTATTCATTCATTTTACTTATTTATTTATTTATTATCCCTCTGGTAGGGCTGGGCGATTACGGGTTTGAATAATCGATAATCGATTATGAAAAATAATCGATTACACTGATTAATCGTTTAATCAAATAATCGATTAATCAATTAATCGATTAATCAAATAATCGTTTAATCAAATAGTCGATTAATCAAATAATCGATTAATCAAATCA